ATTTCCACCCTTTCCATTCTCTATGCCACAAGAAAATAGCTGAGAAGCTAGTTATAAAGTGATATCGTATTTATGGAAAAACATTATTTGAAATATTTATAAGTGTAGTGCATTTATGAAGGTCCCTGAGCTGTTAATTTTCTTACAAATTTTGAAAGAACATTATGGACTGAAACAACAATAATGGCTCATATTAGCTGTTATAGTCAATAATTTCTTATATAGTTTTAAGAAAATTTAGGCAATAGTCAGATCTGAATTGGTCATGGAATCCATTAGACTTCCTATATAACGATAATAACAAAATTTTAATGTCAGCACAATAGGAATTCATATTAGCATCAACCGCATTTTTTACATTTGCACTTATTATACAACTGCGACTGGGTGATCAGGGTTGCTCAACAGGGAAACAAAGAACGAAAAGATATGTTATTCATGAGTCCCTTAGATAATAAGATCTACTTTACTACCTTCTCCGCATTAATAAAGATTCTGTTGACTTTGACAGCCCACATACCTTGGCATTTTTTTACAATAAGTTATTGATTTCGGGCTCATAACCTGACCTTAATCTAGCTTAGGTTTATATTAAAAATTTTGCTCGAGATAAAACACATAATTCACTGTTCAAACTGCTGTACATTAAGGTTGATTATTTCAAACAAAGACTGTACTAGATGTGCATAATTCAATAAAAATATCGATCAACTTCACAAATTTCAGAAAATTAATATGATGGAAAACACATATTATAAAATATTTTAATAGTGAATATTTGTGGCACTGCTTGATCTGTGAAAGTTAAAACTTCTCCAAAATGAGTCCACAAATTTCACTTTCAATTTATCATCCTCTGAAAACATGACTATCCACTCAGAGTTTTGCTTGAATCTTAGTTCAACTACACTCTTTATATATATATATATATATATATATATATATATATAATTCTCGATCAAATAAGGAATTTTGAGACCATTTTGGCAACTTATTCCATCCCACTCTCTCCCCCTCCCCCACCCTCCAAGAGGTGAACACTGTAAGATTGCTGAGTATTGCATTCATTCTCGGAAAAGTTAAAACATTGCAATGTGTTATTTTGCAATATAAATATTAGTGTAGCAACACTGATATTTTTACTCAACCACCCTTCAAAGGGTGCTTAAAGCCAATTAAATACTTTATTCTAGAAGATCTAGTTTAGTTTTTGCTTTAGAACTACTGAAATGGCAACAAGTATCTAATTCACCTAGACTGATTACAAGTTTAAAAATGCATGGCATTCGTTATCTATTCGCAAGTTATTGGATTTAGGATGACTACAATTAAATTAATGTGGGCCAAATCTATATCAACGTAGGATTGCATATCTTCTTCAAGCGAATAAGTAGCTTTATCTTTTGATATCATTTTTTTTATTTTCCAGCGAGTGCTATTCTCCACAATAATTTTGTTTAAGTAATAAGAGTGAAATTTTCTCGCCGGGGGCTGTGAGAGGCTTATTTTGTCAAATCAGGTGATCGGTTTTCTCTGAGCAGACGTGCTTTCTATCGGATCCACCCTGAATTGCGCCTTAATTAATTGCTTTGTACTCAGTTGACGAAAATTTCAGGCAAATATTTCTAACTCATGCACGGAACTAATCATCAATAGCATCTTAGCCTAATTTTATATCTGGTTTAACTATCAATAACCATCATTGTAATTGCATTTTTCTGATATGATCGGATGATTTAGATTTCATTTAGAGCAATGTAACTCCGTAGAGTAGCTGGGGTTATAGTGACTGGTATATACGTCTATTAATCGATTGAGAATGCCTTTAAAACCACTTGCTATATCCCCATATGTAATAAAAAAGACACAAAAACTAGCGATCCCACTGTATACCTCTTTCTTAACTAGAATTATTCAGCTCATATATCATTTACTGTCCCCTCTTATTTTATCCCTTACTTTCCTTCAAAGTATCTTTTACTGTCAAACCAAATTTGCCACAACTACTTTAGCCACATTTTTGCTTGGTTTATTTTCTCAAAGAATTTTGCCCACAATTCGATTGTTACAAAATTGATGTGATGTGGAGGGACAGGAGGGGGCGGGGGAGGGGGGTTGGAAGTAAGATGTAAATTGCTTTCATTTCATTTTTTTTTTAAAAAATTCATTTGACATAGTTCGATCGAAGTAAAGTACATCCACCTGAAAAAATATTTGTGCATATGCACTCTCTGATTGCTTTCTAAATGAAAATGTTTTATTCAAAGTTCGAAAACCTGTAAAATTTAGTGCGCACGCAAACATTACTCGTACTTATGATAGCAATCCTAAAAAATGATATTATTCAATTTTGATAAAGTTTTAATCTTAATTAACTCCATGTAGCTTTCCCTAAAAATGAATCTGACTGAGTTAAATATCAGTGATCTATCAAGTAAAATAGCAAATTTTCCGAATTCATAGCTTGATTCGAGTGTTGGTGCTTTAGCGAAATAATGTTTCTTTATTGCAACCGAAGTAGCTAGGATAAAGGCCATTAGAAAAGATTTTAGCCAATCAGTAAATATAAGGGTCAAATTGAGCGTATCTCCCTATTCCACCAACATTTTCGACTATCTGACTATCAATTGAATTCAAAGATTATAATTATTATTTCAAATGGCGGGCTTTATGAAATTTATCCTAAGCCCTTTAGTTGATTTCGGCTTTCACTGGAGGGAAAAGGGGAAAACATATATAACTGTTTATTAATAGCAGTTCATTAGTTGTCTTCTGGCTTCCCAGTATCTCCTGAATTCTGTCTTTATCTTTAGGGCTGGACACCGAATTAGGTTAGTCTTCTCCATTCCCTCCTGTAGGTAACATAGGGGGGCATGTTGGTTGTGTGTACATTCTAGTTCTGTAAATGTGCTTCGCCAGGCAATCATACCCGGTACATAGACTAAACTCAGCAACGACTCCGATTCTTGGGCAGTTGGCTATGTTGGAGAGCGCCACTCTCCACCGTTTCCCCTTGGATCCAGCTTTAAGTTCATTGCACCTTGAGGTTTTAAATTCTCTCCTGATTAAGGTCTCCATTGTGTGGAAAGACATAGGCCGGTCTATGTCTTACAAAATTTTTGTCCCCTTCTTAGCAAGTACGTCACCACGCTCATTCCCTTTTATGCTCCAGTGTCGAGGGATCCATTGAAGAACCACTGTTTTGTTTTTTTCTCTCAGCAACTGATTGAGTTTTTTAAATTCGTATATCTCAGCTGATTTGGGTGGCTATCTGTTTCCAATTGAGTTTATTGCTGACTGTGAGTCCAAAAGAATTACTGCTTTGGTGAATTTCGTATCCAGGCAACCCAATTGGCCTTTTGCTATCTTAATAACTTTTATTTCTCTTTCAAAAGCGATCTATTGTGTCAACAACGTTTGCTTGGTTTTCTATACATGTATGATAGAAGATAGAAATTAACCAATGCTTCAATTTTATCATTCTAAAAATTCTAATTGAATATGGGGTATTTAATTTTACATTTTCTTTAACTTATTACAACATAATAATTCAATGACTGCTGATCTTGTAGAGTACAAATTAGGCTAATCAAAATTATACACGATCAGGCGTGAATACGTGATGCCGATTACGTTGAAGAGCAAATAAAGTCACGAGTTCAAAAGCTCTGTGCAGATCAATAATTAATTGCCATAGTACCAAAACAGGGCCAATATCCAACACTCATCACATGCAACTCAAATAAACGAACTTAACGTCACATGTATGTTTCCTCTATATGGTGATTACTTTAGACAAGTCAAAGCTTATTCGTGTTGCAATAGGCTTCGATCACAATGAATATTCTAATTTAAATGTTTGAATACCTAGTTCTTAAATGAGTTCGGATCGATTTCAATTTTTTTCAGATAAGTTACTTCATATTCGCAAACCTAAATGAGTTAATTCTTATTTGGAAGTATTTATGGAAGGTCTGCAAGGATACTGTAAATATTACTTCCTAAAATATTAATTACTTGAGTTAAGTTTATGCATGACATCACAATAGCAGCTGATATAATTCACCTATCGTTGGGACAATTTTCAAAAGACTGTATGTGAAAAATGGTCGGGTAGATATTCATTAATTTTCTGCTTTTTCCTAACCAATTTTGCACGCATTCATTCCTATTCAAAATTGAAACCCTAGCTACATTATCTCCCAAAAAAACTCTGGATGTCTGATACTGCGATAACATATGCTCCTTTGTGTAAATAAACTGCTCAATCAGTGGAAAGTATTAAGGCATTTATTTCCTGAAATCACACTTCGTATCCGTTTAGATTCTCCATTTCAATGGTAGCCTTCTTCTCGCCTGTGTCCGGTTAAGAAGGGTCTACTTAAGTAACACACACACCCTAACATATTGTGCATATTATCCTTTAACAAAATGAAAATAGGCAATTATAATAAAATTGAGTAAAATAATCTGGAAGAAGGAACCTTCAATTTTAAGGTGAAAATATGTACCTAGCAAAATTGTGTAGACCGAATGGAAATGATATACAATTACATCGAAATATCATGGAATCGACAATAGGCACACTCTTCACATGCGTATTACTGAAAAAAGGGAAAGAAACAATCAAAGTCTTGCAACGGGGATTAGCACTTACAAGATCGAAATGATGAATAATAAAGTGTGTTCTTCTTGGGCTCATTAACAGTACTAAGAAACCAACTGGAAATGTTTGGAAAATTGGTGGCGGAAAACATGCATTTCCCTCTAATTCCCCAAAAAATTGTTCCGCTGTTAATAAATTACGGCCGAGTGTAAAACAAACATGCATTTAATTTTCGATATGGGATAATATATTCCAATGATACGTAATTACACCAAATGAATATTTTTTCTTGATGTTGATGAGTTGATTGCAAAATAGAGAAAGGTGAAATGCTTTTATTTGAATACAGAATATGTACAAAGTAAAATCAGATAGGCTTAGACTTGCGAATGCCTTAAGTTGTAGCTTCATTGATAGGAGGAACGATGACCACAGGAACTGAAGATCTCTTCACAACATAGCCACTAGAGCTACCGAGGAAGGCTCGTTTCACTCTCCCCATACTATGGAAACCAAGCACCACAGAATCTACCATGTTCTCCTGAATGGCTCGAACAATAGTCCTACCAATTTTGGTGCCATAGAGGATCGTAGTTCGATGATCAATGCCTTTTTCATTGCAGAGTTGTGTATATCCTTCAAAGGTATGCCGAGCCTCCACGGCACCTGTTCGGCATGCTGCAATCACATCATCATTCAGTCCTTTTGAATGTCCATCGCCGTCAAGGGCATGAATTCCTTTCGTGAAGCTTGGTGAGAGGATATAAGCCAAAATTATTTCATCTCCTTTCTGATAATAGTTTTTAATGTACCACCGGAATCCTTTCTCACAACCTTCAGTGCTATCAATAGGGAAGAGAACTTTTTGGCCCAACGTGTGCATCCTCTAAAAATATAAAGCAGTAAGTATGCTTTTACTTCAAGAGGGGCGTTACTTTTATACTCTTTTTCGACCATTACAGATGCAAATATACTCAGATTTTCAGTTTGAAAAACTTGATTGAGTGTTTGTCATTCAAGGTCAAAAAGTGGGTTTGCAAGTACCAAGAGAGAAATTTAGTGGTTATTTTGGAGGCAGTGAATATTTGATTTAAGTGCTTTTGCGCTTAGTGAGCGCTACTTGGTCTTTGTGATCGTGTGCCAATTTTTTTAAAACTCCATGTCAAGATATGTGAGATTTCTTCATGATGGCAATAGGAGGTCTTATGATAGTTGGTCAAAAGAGAAAATGAAAAAACTTGGGAACGAAAGACTATTCTGTGTATAATTTAGAAGCTATCAATAAGTTTCTTGAATTTAAAAAAATTAAACCTTAATAATTTGTATTTTGTTGTTGTATATCGAAGTGGATTTTAACATTTTCATTTTTGGCACCAAATTCCACAACTATTAGGTTGGCAACTAAGTCATTGGCGATTTCAAATAAGAAGGCAAATTAGGAATTTTTGTTTAAAAATATAACTTTATTCAATTAGATATTGGCCGTTCTTGTCGATGACTTTTTCCATCGTTCTGGCAGAGTAAAAATTCCCCCTTCGTAAAATGTCTGGTCTTTGCTATTAAAAAACTGAATTAGGTGTGATCCGACATCATCCGCGTTGTTAAAAATTTTACCATTTAAAGAGTTTTGCATGGAACGAAACAAATGGTAATCCGAAGGAGCAAGGTCAGGGCTATATGGTGGGTGTGACAAAACATCCCAACCCAGTTCCAATAATTTTTGCCGAGTAACCAAAGATGTGTGGGGGGGGGGGCCTTGCGTTATCATGATGGAAAACAACACCCTTCCGATTTGATAATGCCGGCCGCTTATCTTCAATTCCATCCTTCAGTTTTTCGAGTTCTTCAACATACACATTTGAATTTATCGTTTGGTTCTGCGGCATGAGTTCAAAATACAAAATTCATTTGTGATCCCACCAGACTGACAGCATAATCTTTTTTGGTGAATCTCTGCTTTTCATACTGTTTGGGCTGGTTGATCTTGCTTCACCCGTGATCTCTTGCCAGTAACATTGTTATAAACTATCCACTTTTCGTCGCCAGTAACTAGGTTCTTCAGAAATGGATCATTCTCATTGCGTTTCAGTAGCGAGTCACAGATGCTAATCCGTTGCGTCAAATGAATTGCCTTTAACTGGTGAGGGATCCATAAATCAAGTTTCTTGACATAACCAAGGGTTTTTAATTTTTTTTTCAATGCATGTATGCGACAGATTGAGCAGCTTCTCTGCAATATCTCGTGTTGTGCTGTGACAATTAGAATCGATAATGGCCTTGATATGGGTTTCATCCACTTCGACTGGGCGGCCAGATCGTTGTGAATTTGTCAGTGAAAAATCACCGGAACGAAATCTTTCAAACCAATTTCGACACTGCCTTTCTTTTAAGGCGGCTTCATCTCCATATACGGCACATAACTTCTTTTGTGCTTGCGATGCGTTCTTGCCTTTTCGGAAGTAATACAATAAAATGTGTCGGAAGTGCACGTCCTGTTCTTTCATTTTTAAATTGGGATAAAAACAAAACTAAAGAACTAAACAAAAAAGATTTTTTACTAATTAACCTAGAAGCCCATACTGTAAGAAAAAATATAGGTTAGATGCTCTGGCCACGTTAACAAAACAAAAGAAAGTATAGAGTGAATCCGTCAACAAAAACGGCAATGACTTAGTTGCCAACCCAATACCATCAAAAGAATCCACAGTTCTGAAAAGCACAAATTTACTCTAGAGAAGTGAATAAGTTTAAAAGTGTGTTGGATAACAGGATAATAAAAAGGAATAATTTAGCCGGAATGACCGAATTAGTAAATTAGACACAGACCGAAATTCATGCTTAATGAAATATTTTTAGTTATCAATATGATGTACTTATTATGTAGCCGGAAGAAACATAGTGAAAAATACAGACCAAGTTAGAACAATAAATAAGAAGACTTTCGACCATTATGTGACATTGGTGCATAACTGATTACCGCAGTAACACAAGAGTGATGGGGGAATTGACAGCAAAATGAACGAGGCAGAGAAATTTAAAAGAAATCAACGTCATAGGAGAAGTTAAATAAGAGAAGACGCGCCAAAGTGTATTCCAAACCAGGTCAAAATTAAATAGATGGTGATATCTCGTTGATCCTTCGAAGCTGCAAATAGCATCTTTTAAAGTGACATATTTTGACTCCCCTTTCGTCCTTGATATATTAAGCCAGTATTTAATGGCATCAATAAATAAAAAACTGTATTCAGACAGTGATTCTTATAAGATATTCATAAAAACCCTTTTCGTAAAAGATTGGGTGGCAACTATGTGGTAATTAATTCCTTATCCAAAAAAATAATTCCCCTTTAAAACATTAAATTTTTCATAGTTTAATGAACTTATTTAATTGCCTCTTCACAACTACTATGTCTGGAGAGATTTTTTGAAAGATAGATGAAAGGTAGGGAGTGAATTACACGGTCATTTTCTCTTCAAAAATGATTTCCGAAGTTAAGCCCATCACCATTGCCTATGCCTTCAGTATATCAAATTGGTAAGAATTGGCCCCTCCCCCCAGCTTTGATGACTTTAACTTTTTAATGCTTCCAAAATTTTTCACTTCTAAGTATTAACCTGCTTACCCTACTTGTTTGCGAAGAAACTACGGCCTAAATAGTTAAATAATTGTCATAACGATGTTCAACTTTTCTTTCGGTATTTGCTATTGAAATCGATTTAGTAGGTTTATTATTAAAAGAATTTTCTATAGTTGCGCAAAAGCATTATGGCAATTGGTGATCAAAAGGAGAAACTCATTTTGATATCATTTATTGGAAGAGCATTTTTCCCCAATAACTAGTATTCCCTTGCATGTACATTGACCTAAATGGGTATTCAAATTCTCGTCGTCTGTTTCATGGCACATATATACACGTATGAGCCCCAGGGAAACACGTGATTTTGCTAATCGATACTTACCTGGAACTTGCACTGCATTTGCGGAGTGGGTGTGGTGGGGGCGTGGGGGGGGGGGGCGGGGGGGAGGTGAATTACAATATGTACCAGAATGCACCCATATACGATAAAGATGCAAGTGAAATCAATAGTGACATTACCATTTCCAACAAAGTACTCAAAATTCCCTAAAGAGCTCATTCTTTTCAAACTATTGACCGTTCCTTTAAGCCTTTCTTTTTTAAGACTAAATAGTTAAGCGCATGTAGTTTATCCTTTCAAAGCATACATTTAGTTTTCAAAAGGATCATGGTTTTAAATATTCCACCAAACGCTGTATTCATACTAGTTATCCTGCCTTTCAGTACACAAATGATTAACATTTTGACAGCCAAGCTAACTTTATTTTTTGCAAGACGCTGCAATTAAAATTAATAAAATTCTTGAATCAGTCTCTTTTTTGCACGATTATACCCTATTTTAAGTTGAGGATTTTTGGTGCAAGGAATTGCACAGAATGAAATTAGTCAAGGCTTCAAAGCCTAACTTACCTCACTCACGCTTCCACCCCCTGCCTTCTCACTTTTCTCATTCAGTAATAATAATTATCAAATATGAACTATATTCTTTGTATTAAAGGAAGACTATAAATTCGAGGGGTATCTAACCGGAATTGGCAAGAAACGAAAGCAGAAGATTTTAGAAGATTTCCAAGTAAATCGGTGATATTATGGCAAATTGATCTTGACTATAATAAATAAGATTCGAACAGTAAATTTGTAATTATTCATTATCTCGTCATAATTTGTTAACTTTTAGCAAATTCCTTGCTTTCTCAATTCCGCACTCTCTCATCGGGTCTATAATTTGTGTGAATATCATTGAAATTCAGGGATATTTCATCGAAGTACTAAATTAAAAATAAAATAAATGGCACTCTAAGCTACAATTTGTGTCTGCGTATGCGGAGGACACAACGCTGCCAAGGTTGACCAAAGACTATTCATTCATCGTGGAACATTCTAGAAAGTGCGGCTGTTCGTGCAAACACCCGTCAGTGAATCAGTAATCAATTTTACTCTGCGTAAAATTAATTCATGGTTTAATTTCATGACTAAGCACGTGAGTTATTTGCCCAGTATAAGCTGAAATAAATCCTACTCTCCTTATGTGTTCAGTGTCCTCGACGTAGCTTGGCTAATTTCGGGGGGTTGAAGCCAAAGCTATGAAATTGACAATTACATGATTGGCAGGTTGGTGGATCAAAATATTGCAAATAAGCAGTGGTTGCACGGAGGAGGTCGGGTTGAACTATGAATTCAGAGAACGCGAGTTTTACACATCGCCAATTCGCACCCAATAGGCATAGCCGACATCTCCATTGGATAAGTCTACCTATCCAAATATGAAATGTATTCTTTTTTTACCAAAGCGGATTCATGATGATAAAATCCACGCAAAATAAGTAATTGCAAGCTTTCCAAATTGGACCCTGGAGTTACCGTTTTAAACTCTAAACCTACTTTCAAAACAACATATTTAACAAATCTGCCATTTTATACCAATATATTACTAACGATATTGTTTGAGGCAACTCGTTCGATTATTTACTAAAAAATCAAAATCTTCCACAACCTAGTGGCATGAGAAACCCATATCGAACTGTTTTATTCACTTGTACGAACACAGAAATCACACTAATCCCATTAAAAGTTGATGGGTTCTGTTCTCGGTGCGAGTATATTACCACATAGAGTTTTTTGAAACTCTAAGGAATAATAGGCAACAAATCTACTGATAGTCGAGCTGCCATCTAATTAGCATTGAGGTAAATGAAACCTAGAACCTCGTAATTTGCATGCAGTTTCATGCTCATGTCTACACCAGGGGTGGCACATTCTCAGTCTGAGTTGCTAAAATACTAAAAGTTGATTAGCAGTGAACAGAGGAAAATGTTATCCTCGATTGAGGTCAAGGCCTAGAAGAGGCGTGACAATTTTGAATCTCTCTCTCTCTCTCTTTAATAATTGGCAGTTTGGCTCAAGAAATGCGTAAAAAAACATGCTCTCCTCCAGTGTGGTGTGTACACCATATGTGCGCGTAAGAGAAAAGGTGTCTCTCACAAGAGGCAAATGAGTAAATAACAGTTATACTACGGCATAATGTTGATTGCACTTTGTTATAACCCATTATGCCAAAGTACCAGTTAAAAGAAATTTCTTCGACAGGAGTGTTTTCGAAGAGGTTTTCCACCAAATGAATTCTTTGGGTCTATTTTATATTAGTGATCAATACATTTTCGGTGCTTCAAGACAGTCTCATGTAATTATCGCGTGTCTCGAATGCCTTTTTTAGAGTTATCGAAAATAGTACATAATATTCAGTGAATATGTAATTCATTCTTAAACATCCTTTATTCCTTGGGAAGATGGAAGTTGCTTTCAATGATGATTATTGTTCGTTCATGTTTAAACCATGAAGCATTTTTAGCTAATGCTTACATTTACTGTCAGATAATATAAAAAATACAAACTGGATATTGACTGTCTTCAGTCATGTCGTTAACTAAATTTTTGCCTTGGGTTTTTAAGGCTTTGCTTTGTAATATTTCTTTATTTACATTTAATATTCAACAAAGTAGCCTCGTTTTGGATAGGATTATAGGAAAAGTTGGATTTAGACACAAAGTTGTGAAGATTTGCCGATGATAATTAATCCTAAAAGTATACAGTTGACTATTTTGCCCGACAATCATCTGTATTTGTTAATATTACACAAATTTTATTAGACTCCTTGCAAGATTATGTGTTACATTAATGCTTTAGAAAATCACATTACTGCAGCGGTCACATTAAATGACTGTTGTCAGTAATTGCATAAGAGACCAATCATTACTTAGGTAAATACAACAAAATATAACACTCAACATTAGGATGAAATTTATGGTCCTTTAAGTTTAAGAACTGGACATCTAATGACACTTTATGGTCGAAATTTATGGGACTAAGTGTAAATCTATAGCTGATATCGCCTATGCACCTATTGTTACTGAACTCACACTAATTGCTGGCTAATGTCACGTACTACACTTCCTATTCATCATTTTTTTGCTTCTCAAATAGAAAAAATGACAAGTGATTTTTCCCCAGTTAATCTTCACGTGCATCTATGTACTATGACTCGCAAGGCATGAAGTCTAAATTAGCTATTCATCCAGTCGTAGCTGATATTAAAAAAAGTTTTAATAGTAATAGTTTGTCATTAGCCTTTTTCAATCATTCTGAAAAGTGCTAGCTATGACACATTGCTTTATTAAGCTTTCTAACCTACCCATTCCTTATTTGCAGTGATTTTAGTTCGAGGTTTCGTCCAAGTGGGCATTGTGCATACTTGGCAATTTCGGTTTAATTTTTAAGTCAATCAAGCGATTTGTTTGTGAGGTTTTTAACATTACTGCCTAATGTTGGTTAGTTTAGGATGAATTTTAGCAACCGAGTAGACGATCCGCTAAATTATTACTCCACCTTTAGATAAGAAGTCATGCGACATTTGGCATTATTATTTTGAACATGAGTAGAATACAGAACACATAGCAGGGCGTTTGGAATAAACTTGACGGCCTTATCAGAAAATGAGAAAATGCAGTTGGTAACTGCAAAATTAATAGATTTAGCATTGCCAATATATGTGTGTCAAAAGTTTTACTCTAAATAACTGCCACTTTGGCATCTTTTATGGTCTAGATTCGATCACAGCTCTTCTCGGAGTCTGGTGCAAGCCCAATTTACACTTTCCATTAGAAAGCAAGACAGCTTGTGTCTTCCTCCACAACACTAAAGTATACATTGATTGATCATCGGTTTAAGATCTTGGGGGAGGAAGGAGAGTTAGCAGACTAAACACTGGCACTGATGTGATCGTAAAAATCACTTTGCAGCCATATAAACTATTCCTGGGGATGACAGTGTGCCGAATTTTGATGAAGCAATTGAAGTTGACATATTATTGGCTACTCTCGTTCATCATCAAGAGCTTAAATGCTACGCTGGTTAGCAGGATCACGTAGACATATGAATCTAACATCATCCAATATTTAAACAATAGCAGGAGAGATAATACAGTACAAAAAGGATGATACACATCCTAAAGCCAAGACTGTTTCTAGAAATTTAGTTTGATTTACTCTAGGAGTGTCCATTGAGCTTTATGTAATTCAAAATATATGTTACTCTGCGTGTTGGGCTTTAGAGCATGACATAAGGTTTCTCATCGGGAAATAACAAGATTGCATATTTGTGGTAGGATGTTTCACTTTGCTAAGAGGTTTTATGGACCACCTCTGTGGGAAGTTGACTGCTTCAACGGCCTTGAAGTGGCGAGGGTCTTCACTGATTGAAATCTTCATGAAAGAGGCTGAAACGTGCGATTCATTGTGGCACCATGCCCCATATTTCCATTCTTCGATACTTTTTAACCCTCTATTCACCTCTGCTTGGGTAAGTAGAGAAGATTATCTATTATGTTACTTTCGTCTGGTTACAGCGGCCTCGAAATCTTCACTGCAATTCTCCACTTCATTCTGTGTTCTTTAATTCGAAGCCCGGAGAGAACAACATGAAGCAATTTGTTCTCCTCTATAAGTCAGATGAGGTCCAACCATCTTCCATTCCCATCACCATTATGTTTATGCAAGAGGAAGAGTTTTAGAATTTAAAGAAAGCAAAGTAGACGTGAATACCTTTAAAGAATATGGAAAAGACAATCAAGTATTATTCTGTAGAAATTAACTGAATACCTTGTATGTTTGCCGGGAAGATATGTAAAAGTGAAAGCGGGATAGAATTAATATTATGAAATAGTTGTGTAAAAGGTACCAGATTTAAAACCTCCATTTTAAGACTTGAATAATACAATATTTGGGATAGGGTTTATAGACTCTTAGATTGCAAAAAAAATGGCCAGAGGTAATGGGTTTGTAGTTTCTTACTAGTTTGTCGATATCAAGTATATGGGGCGTGCGATAGACTTATCTCCACGTGGTGCACCCTTGGAAACGTATACTCATACAGCAAAAAGTCAATTAACTGACAATTGACTTCTGGCTTCAAAATACAATGGCCCAACTGTATGCCATATTCTACCACTTTCACGATACTCATCCTACCTTTTCTCTGGCTTTGTGTCTGTCTCTTTTACATCTGTAAATCACTATTCTGTTTTCCACTCCTCGACTTTCTGTTACTTTGTTGCTTCTTCTCCCCTCTGTGAAGCCCAAAGTCAGCTAAAGGACTAATGGTAATTATCAAAACGCCTGCCATTTGAAATAAATAAATATATCATGCATACGTGTCGAGTTTCACGTTCTGATTGGGGAAGGGAGAGATCTTTGTAGTTTCGAAGTTCAGTCTTAAATTCAAATAACACGCAGAAAATAATTTACTGCACTTACATTGCCTTTTATTTTTTACCTCACTAATGTAACCCAATTACATCATTCAATGTTGTTTTGTGATTACAATGATATCCCCGAACGGTTTAAACTATAGTGGAAATCGATCACTCATTTCAATAAATTGTACTAATTGTGGTCGCAGAACATCTGACTAGTGAATTCATGAATGTGATTAAGACAACGATACGATATTCGATATATTTTTACTTTCAGAGATCCACAGTTTATTTTTTTGGTTTTTGTTTTAATGGCTTTAGATTTTAGTTCAATATGCATTTAACTTCAAATATAATTATGTAACCTGATTTTAATTGTTTCTCCTAGGAACATCTTATTTCCATATATATATATTAAATGAATATCAGTTACTTAGATAACGTTAACTCATATTTTTTATTACATTAGTAATTTTTCTTAAATGAAAGTAAATTCGGATGCAATTGACTTATATAAACTGTAGCCTAGTAGGAAACTGACGAAATTCCTTAAATATCAATAGGATATCTGGAGTCATTAATGTCAGCGATAGGCAACTAATTTCTCTTAATTGGCATCAAATTATTTAAATACGGTCAATCAATAAAACAAGTAAGCAAATCTCAGGAGAGTAGGTATAAGATATGATAGAATATTAGAAAATAGTTCTTGATCATCTTTTCAATACAAAGAAAGGCTACGAAATCCTCTTGTGGGTTTGTCCGTGTCAGGGCAAGGAACAACTGTAACTGGGACATTGGAATGATGTACAACATAAGTACTCACACTGCCTTTGAATGTCCTGCCAATGGCATTCAGTCCTCTGCTGGCCACTATGATATGATCCACATCAAGTTCCTTTGCGACATTCAAGATCGCAGCCCCAGCTTTTGGATCGGATCGAACGAACGCTTTTACTTTGATACCAGCGTCTCTTCCCCAAGCGAGATATTTGTGAGCCAGGGCTTTCCCATTATCCAAAATCTTATTAGTTGTTGGATTTTGAAAGGAATTATCCTCAAATTCTTCCTCCCTCTCCTCCTCAGCATTCCTTTTGGATACTTGATCAATAACGTGGAGGAAAATGAGAGTGTCTTCTTTATTGAAGAAATGGTCGATGTAAAATTTCAGTGCATGTTTGCAGTTTTCACTTGGATCTACTGGTAGAAGAATTGTACGTCCCATTTTGCTGTTTATACGAGTTTTGCAATTCCTCACATAGATTTTATACTGTCATTCTCTAACTATTCTTATTGGTGAATGAAGAGGTGAAATGAGCTTTGTTGATTGGTGAACGGCGATAACACTGCTTCATATCATGAAGAAGGTTCAAGTAGGTTGATCACCAGTATTTATTTTAACACCTAGAAACTCAACATTAACATGTGACTTTAAAAACTTTTAAATCACAGTTGTTATTCGGATTCTATCATGTTATTAGGGCATATATGTTGCATGATTTTCTACGTTAAACCGCTTGCTTGGAACTTTACAGAGCCATTTATTAGATATAATGCAACTATTTGCACATAGAGTTAATTGCCTTCCCCTTGGGTACCACCAGAATGTGCTTAAAAACACTCAAGTTGTTATTGACACAAATCGATATCACCCTCAAATGTTAACCGATTATAATAGATGCTTAATAAGAACATGAAGTAATAACATTTTCTAAAACAGAAAAGCTTCAGAACACCATAATTCACCTCCTTTTGAGGGAATTGCAGTAGAGGCGTGCAGATATTTTGCCCCAAAAAATTTGTGATCTTAAGTGCCTTAACTTAGACATTTGGTAACCAGGCTCTCAGAAACTTGGCGCATTATAAACGGCTTTGAGACACGGCTACCTTAGCATGATTTACCTCTTCAGTATCCTCTTTGGTTATCAAATCAATTGAAATTATCATTTTATCATTAAACGTGATCCGGATTCAAGGTTCTCCCTGAGTTCCTGAGGTTCTAACTAACAAGGCGACACATATTAATTATTATTATTCCCTTAAAAAATTAACTTCTAATTCCAAAATGACTATTGAAATAAGCTTTTCACAACAGATATTATAAAATATGTCAGGAGCCCGATATTGTGGTTTACTAATAAATCGATATGATACGATCAAACCTGGAACTAAGTGAGTATGACTTAAGTAGGGTGGGCATTATCTTATCTAAATGTCTGTGAATGCGCATCCCTGAAGGAACATGCATAAATCTCATTACTTCCGTGGTTCACAGTAGGTTCGAATCTTGGACTCTTGAATGCACTATCGATTTCTTCTTCACTAGCTCCCGACATGCACCCAAATAAGCTCTCCTCACGGCTATATTTTGTTCCGTTCTGGTTAATAAAGGTGTAAAAGCGTTTTGTAACAATTTTAGCATTGGTAATGTGATATTAAACACCCAGCACCTTAGGATTCCAAAGGTATTTTATTTTCGATTTTATAATTGATAGTTATTGATGTCGTCATACATGGTACACTCCGCCTGCATGTGCAATTCAAATTGACTCAGGAACTCACTGAATAATTAATAGCTCGCCCACTGAAAATCCAAAAGCTCATTATGCTAAAATGGGTTTAAACAATTCTACTAACAGATTTATTTAAGTAGTCATTTTGTTTTAGTAAGCGAAAAGTTTAACAAAACTGACTTAATTGATTTTATATTTCTTCCATTAAAGCAGGAGAAAGGAATATTATTTGTGGCTAGGACCAACAATTACACAAGGCTCAAAAGATTCTGAAGAAAACATGTTTAACTGTACTTTGTAATTCCGTCACAGATAATAGTAATTTATTATTCATGTATAACAATCTATGAGATATCAAAAGTTTCATAAAAATCTACTATAAATACGAAAGCATAGCGGTCTTAGGAAAAGAAATAAAGCTTAAAAATGACTGCATTAATTTGTTGTCAATAACGAAAATGAATCTTTGAACTATCCAATCTAAAATGACTAATTTCGTCAAAATTCTCAAAAGTTTGGTTAAAAAACAAACCTATTGTGATATTGATAAATGAAGGTATTTTAAATGTTAGCTTGTAGAAAATATAAATAATGAATGAAAATTACTTTGTACCTCAGTACCCTCACAAGGGATATATTCTGACCTTACCAGCCTTGATGAATTACTCTTCGTGTTCCCCTTGGCAACCAATTCGATTTAATAAAACGCAGGTTTTCACTACCGACGGCTACGAATGTATTCGTGGTCTATGTTAATTGGTTTTCCTCAATGACTGAATTTTTCATGATCTGAATGCCATAATTGCAATTCGTCGGTTTTGTTAACATCTTCTTCCGCCTGACTTTAAGTCGGGCGCGAACTATCTGCAGTCATAAAAGCTTATAAATGATGCTCTCTAACACGTATACTGAAATACTACAATGTAAGATGATCTCTCAATAATTTCTCTGCAAATTGTATTTATTACACCCCCCCCCCTCCCCCACCCCAAATCACGTTAAACTTCCAATCTTCTGTAATGAAATTATAAATACGAAACTAACTCTAAAATACAATATTCCAACCAAAGTTAGCTGGAGGACTTTTAATAAGTAACTCCGCTTTTCATCGGAATTAACCATTTTGACCGGCCATTCACTTCGCTAGAGGTGTCCTGATAAGTATCGAAGAGGTTACCTCTGATTTGGCTGGCAAGCTTTCCATCAGGCAACTACACAGTTAAATGGTTGTTTTTGTTTATCTTATGAATTCATGGCAAAGCGAATCGAATGACACTGCATCCAATGTGAGCCTTAGTAAAACAAGAATCAAATGAAGAAATTCTATCTGGACACGTTCCCAGGTTATTCCACTAACTGAAACTATTTCAACAGAGTGTAGATTCTTGTGAGTACATGCCAAGGGGTGATTTCATTACTACTTTTGCAACAATCGAGTCTTATGTGATTATTCAATGTTTTTTCTCGAGGTCGTACTTGACCGACTGTGAAATTTCTCACATTTAATGCTAAAAAGAGTAGAAAAATTTTTAAAAAAAAATTCAGCAGGCGAATGAAACTGCGACGTAAATATTTATAACTGAAATCATCTATTAAAGCAGAAATTCAGTCAAATTTTTTTCATCCCAAGAGGGTAATGAAAATGGACAAATTATGAAGCATTTTCTTCCTTGGCAATATTAGCATTTTGTTTTATGTTTTCTTACCTTTTGTAGTGAAAATAACGTTTAAACGTGAAATTGTTTCCTGAATCAATGTAACAACCTCGCAAAAAGAACAGGGGTCCGGGGGCAAGGGAGCCGATGAGTAATGCTCTTTCTCTTTTACTTCAGATAGCTTGGGGATGTTTGGCCATCAATGCATCCCCGATCTTAGCAATAATTCTTTAACAAGAGGATAGGGCGAGTCGAAAACTTATTCCTGAGATGCCAAGAGATATAGGAAACCAACTCCCAGTTACAACCCCCTCTAAGCAGCAACGCACTGAAGCATGATAAGGATAATTAGATATTAGATATTGGGGTAAAAGAGTGCATAAAGCTTGACTCAAATAAACAGAGAGAAGAAGGATATGTAAACCAGCACCCCACTAAATTTGTGAATTTTCTTGCTATAGCATATTACTTTAAGGCATTGATAGACCCTACAATGTGGTCTTCCTTTGAAAGTGCTATGCCCTTTAATCGTATTGACTTAAAAGTAATGATATATAAAATAATAAAAGATATACAGCTATTGGCTAAGAAATTTCCAGGGGTTTGCACGAATAGAAGGACAATCTAAGCTTAACTCAATGAATTAGTGCTTCTTACATGCATTGAAAATGTCTTCGTTGTGTAAATATAATTTGAGCATCTTAACCGAAGAACAATTCAGAAACATAATTTCCATCACTGGAGTCTAAACGAAGATCTGGTTAAAACGAATAAAGGAAATCCTAACGTAAAGATATAAATAAATCGGTCAGACAAGTTGGAATGGCGAATGAAACTCACTATGAGTCTGACGACATATCCACAAAAGATCTCTATATCTATGCTTTACTCCATACAATGCATAGCACAGCCGAATCCTTCTGTCAAACAGAAAGTATCTTAAGCTCTTATATGGTACCAAAGCTAACATTTCCATCAATTAAGAGATATTTAGCAGTAAATCTCTGCCTGCACTACCTGATATTTGAAGTTCTTTGAGAAAGTAGATGGGAAAAAATAGCAAATCAAATGGACTCCCAAGCGTTAGAAAGCCTTCGCAAAGCAAAAACACATGCCTACTTCTGATACGCTTACTTCTAAACCGAATCCAAAAATCATAGTGGCTGGGGAAAGTCTCGAACAATATCAACTTCCTTGATGGCTCGTGTAGGCATGTTTCTTTTAATGCATCGAACGATGCCTTACTCAGCGTTAAATGACCCTAGTCCAGTGAAAGTTGTTTGAAACGAAAATTCGGGATGATCTACAATTGCTCAGCTTTCATAAGAACAATTTTCCCTAGTTCACATTCATGAAGATGTGTCATCGGATACATCCCTGTCCCTGACACTCACTGAAACTAGGGAACCCGAAATGCTCTTGGCCCCCTAACAACTTGAAAATAAAGAACTTCTATGAAACCTTAGTTTGGAGCATTCCAGGAAACACCCAACGAAATTCCAGGCTCATTGAACATCTAAAAGTTACGCTAGAAAGCTCTACTAGGGAGGCTTTGGACTATTTTTATTCTAAAATGAAATAGGTAAGAGTCTCACACATATTTAAATTTTATTTTCATCTATTGATAATTTCGCATAAATGTTAAAATGTACAAAATTTATGGGCCTTTACTGGGCATAACTTGAGGAGAGACATCTTACTCCCGCGTTATTTTTCAATTTGTGAAGTTGTGGGACATTTACACTGTTATAATAAACACATTGCAAACTTTGAGGGGAAATTTTATTATGCTAATTAAATTGCTATAGATTGACTCCATTATTGACAAGTAGGCACTAAAGATAGACCTCAACATAATCACATGCAAAAAGGTAACATTGGCGTTTATTTGCTTACTCTTAAATTGCACATCTATTGTTTCGTTTTGGCCGTAAATTATATATCCAGGTTTATCATAACCCCATTTAAAAGAATACTTTTAAAATTATAAAGGGAACTATGATGATCAAGTATCTGTTGGAAAAAAGATCTTCTAATACCATTTGAATATTCACTTTGCTAATCGTAATCAATTATGAGTACACTAAGCACTTCCAATTGGCATTAACAGTTAAAAACGGAAACAGCTGTACCAAATATGAAATCGACATGTCAATCGTTCCATTTGATTAGCAGTGGCTAGATAGATTCACTACTATATTCACTCAAATTTAACACTTTTAATCCATATAGCCACGCAGTCATCATGGTCATAGTTTTCAAATGGCATATCCTTTTTTGGGCGCCTTGGAATTTAAGTTGAAATTATTTCGAACCTGCTATGTTTACTATCAAAAGCCTAAACATCTGCTTTCTATAAGCAGAACAATAGGCCTATAAATCAATAAATATTGCCGTATTTTGGCCATTGAAACATTTGAACGACAATCAATAAAGGAGAAAGAAGCGATCGCGTGTTCCATAAAAATTCGCCTCCAGGGGAGTTATGAAAAAAATATAGTCTGTGGTTCTAAACATTCCTAACCCTTTTCAAACATGCTGCTCACGCAATATAAACCTCGTATTCGTGTGTAAAGACGAGGTCGGACTCGTTAGTGTTTAACCTAATTATGGTCGCTTTTTGTAAACGAATATTTAGAACTAAGGTGCTCACGGAGTTAGTCACGATGTGATAGAGAGATAATTTCATTCACAATAACAATCGTTGTCATTGATTACATTATAATCAAGAAATGAGACTTTCAATTGTGAGGAGAAGCTGAAATATTTGGATCAAAATAGAGCAGAGTGCAAAATTAACGTATCAGAGTCCTACTTTAATTGATTTCTGAGCCAAGTTGTACGATTTTTACTAAATGGGCCAATCAACACCCCAAAGTTCAAATTTCACGATTCGCCCTATGAATCACAGTAAATGCTTGTTCGTGGTGTTCAGTGTTTGTTAAGCACCTTGTTCTATCAAAAAGAGTGGGTTATGTCATTTTAAATCATGTCTTTTTCAAATAGTCGAGAACTTGCAACGATGTAGAATGATCTGAGAAATAAGAATGTTATACATTTCGCAGTAGAAGAACTTCATAATCTGCGTCTCGTCAAAGCAAATAATAGCAAGCTATCGACTCAATAGATATAATTTCCTCATTCGTAATGTATACAAACCTATAGGACCCTTACAAACAATCACGAACTGAAAGTTTGCCAAAAGTACAAAAGGCCAAATTATTTTGGAAAAAAAATTAATAGGGAGCAAGTTATAGCCCGTTTTAACATGAAATACAAGATTAGTTGACGAAAGTCCTACTTCGAATTAGGGCAAAACTCGATGCAATAAAAAATAGTTCGTAAAACCCAGACGGTTTTATTCTTGAAGTACTGGATTCAGTTGCCAATGCTGGTAGACCACTACAGCAGCCAGGGCACACAAAATATAGAAACATAGCAAGAATGAACTTTACCTGCAAATTAACAAGAAAGGTGAACTACTCTCACCTCAATTGGGTCAATTGCAAATAACACAGCCAAACCAATAGGCACGTAAATGAGAATGCAAAACTAGCACATAGTAGGAGAAAGGTGTTAAAAAGAAAAACATTCGCTTATTTTATTTTTAAGAAAAGTGAAAAATGAATTTATTAACAAACGGATTAATTCAGCCTACTGAAATAGCTGGAAATATTGCACATTTCTTTGAATTTATCAATTTTAGAATAATCAGGATGGACTAGAGAAAAGAGTTCACAGGAATTTAGGAAAGTGAATTAACATTATATTTGCATTTAAAAGTAGTAAAAACAGAATGGTACGTGACTCCGGGTAAGCGCTCAATTAAACCTCCAGGGAGCTTTTTTTATTTTAGGATGTTGCACTTTAAGACAAGTAAAAAATGCACGCTGTTGCCATATCACCTGAAAGCAAATTAATGTTAATCCGAGGAAAAGCACAATAAGCACCAAAGTAAACACGTTCTAAGAAGTGAACGGAAAATAAAACATTTTGAGCAGCTAATCGCGTTATGAACAAAGGGAATTTCGATCATTTAGTAGGGAGTGCAGATTTAAGTAGGCATTGAGCTCATTTCATTCTTGTCTAGGCATGGCCTTTCGGCTCAATGGAGTTAAATAGCTATCTACTAAAACTCGATGCACATTCGAAGACCCAAGAAAACCGCTTTTAAGAGATATGACTATAGGAAGATTTTGTTGAAATTTGCATTCAGAAAAAAAAGCCCGAAACAAAAGGAAGGCTCATTTAAAATTGTGCTCGAATATGAAGTTATAAATAAGCAATACTAATTCGCATAACTACTACATAAACGAGGGACAAAGTCCGGTAAAGATAATGATATTTATATGGGAGTTTATTTTCATGGTTACGAGGAAAGTGTCAACCCTTATTGAACAAATCACATCGCCATCAAAGATAATAAAGTCATGTATGTATGTAAAAGAGGAAGTTTTGTACCTTCAGTATAGCTAATGACCAATAACAAGCGTGAGAGTTACAGATACTTATCGTCCGGTAAAAATGGAATACAAATCTAAACGCTGGAACAAAGTTCAAAGTAATAAATAAACGCCCCGAACCAAGAATTTCAAATTCTTGGACTTCATAAGCCTTAAATGCCAAGGAGAACAACTATAACTGACAAATCCTTAGGCCGATTCCGAAATAATTGGCAATGAAGCATCCATCAGAGCAACAATAACTGAGTCGCTCCAACTGACCAAATTTGAGGACACCACTTGTTTACGTGAAAGTTAAAAAGTCACGTGATTTTAACCATTTACAATAAGACCAAAACCGTGTATACACTAGGATTAATTCAACAAGATAATTGAATAAAATAGGATTATGTAAGCTCTTATCCGCAAGTGTTTTTTACTATCAATCAAGAAATATAGCAATGGTAATGGGATAACATGATATGAATAAAAGTGAGACATTTAAGTATTCTGTTCTAAACATTTGGAGGAATAATCGCAACAGGGAGAGAAGCATTGTGCACAATATAATCACTCACACTACCAAGAAGTGTGCGTTTAATCGCTCCAAGACCACGAGATCCAATCACGATGATATCAGCTCCATGATCAATTGCCGATTTACAAATTGCAGCGCCGGGTTTGGTGTCCACATGAAGGAAAGCTTTGCATTCCAGTTTCTCGTCTTTAGCAAGTTGCATATATTTTTGACCGAGCTTCTTGCCACACGCAATGCTCTCTTCCATAACTCTTGTCATATCATCAACCACCATAGGAGGAGATTCCATAGCCAGTCCGATTGCTGGAGTTGTGTAGACGGGCTCGATTACATGAATGAAGAAGATGATATCGTCAGGTTTTCGTAAGTTTGCTTTAAACCAATTGAAAGCACGTTCACAATTTTCACTTGAATCAATAGGAAAAAGAACTCTCCTAGCCTTCTTAGTATCGGACATGTCAACGCGGTTGCAAATAAAGCACTGCCAATTGCGCACATCACTTGGTCAGCTCTAAGTGAACTTTAATTGGTTGAGGAAAAATTACCGCTTCTGATTGGTGAAACTGAACATGTATGCTAAGAATGACAAACCACTGAAATTGCAGTCTGTGACTATTGGTCAGCGGAAGTATCACGCAGGCTTTCTATTTGGCGTTAAATTTCCAACCAATTTAAGAGAGCTTAATAGAACCTAAGCAAGTAGTCTTTAGCACAAGTCAATTGATTCAGTAATTTAAACGAATTATTTATCTGAAATGGAGAAGTGATGATTGTCTTGAGTTTCCTGGATATCAAGCATAAAGTTGGGAATTCTATGGCAAATCTATGTGGTTTAATATTAGTGAAATTTTATCTATCTTAAAATACATATTTAGAATTAAATATTTTCATGTGTATTCTCGTTTTTATGCATTTCCATAATGTTTCCGGCATAATTTTCAGTTTGGATACCTTTAATATCTTCAGCCACAACAGGGGCTATTTCCTTTTTCTATGCCATTAGATCTTTCCATCAAGTATGAGTTTTCTCAAGTTAAATTCGTTTTATTTCGGTCGTTCAACTTTCAAGCATCGTAAACATGACGATTAATACTAATTGTTAACCAATACAGAAATTCACTAGATATAACCAATTTCGAAATTTTAATCAGATACTGCGCATGATAGAATTCCGAATATATCCTTCCATTTATTCTTGGCTCTTTAAGTGGGCGGCCTATTTAAAGGATGCAGTTATAGCCAATTTCTTGCCGCATTCTTCTCTACAAAGACTTTATCTTACTGTGAAACTAGAGCACATCTACCAACTACTAAGTAGGGGGGGGGGGTGAGATATTCTCCTATAATCTATTTAATATTGGTTTTCCTAGTAGGATAAACTGCTATTCAAGTAACGCTTAAAGTTAAAACATCAGTTTAATTTATATTTCATAACCACTTAAATAAAATATCAACGAACGACAATATTTGACATCGTTCGGCCTCGATACAAGCATCGTAAGCCCTGTAGTAGACACGTAGTAACATCAGCATATGAAGTTAGTGAGGATACTTCTGAACGGAGCAAATTAGTCTAAAGTAGGACTCGTGAAATCGCATAAAATCTATAAGTATTTAGTGGTGGCCAAGCATGGGGAGGCATAAATTTTTGAGGTCATGAGTTCGTCGTAAGGTAAAATGGATGAACGCTAAGATTGGGACACCACAATAGGTCTTACCTAGCTGTGGCAACTGGACTGATATGATTGCAACTATTAAATGAGTGCTTAACTCGGTGTGATTATCTCTTTTACCTCGTTCAATGTATGACCCAACCCCATAAGTGATTCATTGATTTAACTTCCTCCATTATTGAATACTTGTCATTTTTAGTCTTTCCTCCCACTTAATTCTAGTTTCTGCTTTTTGATTACGGGTATACTTCAGTAAAATAAGCTGCCATTAACCCCATCTCATTCTTTTCTTAGTTGACCTTCCACAGCTATTCAGAGCTTTAGCTTAGATTAAAGAAATGCAGTCACTCTATTAACAGCATTAAGGTTTCCAAGAAGTAACATTGAAAGCTGAAGATCATTCCATGAACCCAATATCGAATAACTGTTGATAAACTAGTGTGAAGAAAGGAATGGGGGACTTGGAAATTATCTTTGGGAAGTGATTTACCCATTCAAAGTGATATCAGGTTTTCAACATTTCCAAGGCGATACATCAATCTAGTAGATAGTGGAATTTGCTCAGATTTAAAAAATGCCAAATGGCCAAATAGAGCCAATTGGGTTAAAGCTTTGTTAGCCTATTATTCCCCTGATTTATCAAGCTAATGTATTCAAGTATTCACACTTGAGAGCAATTATTATTCCTGCAATTATACAGCTATATTTGATAAGAGTTCCGAAAGTAATCAATGCCTAAAAAAGTTTGTGAGTTAGCCCAAGGTCATATCGATGGCACGCAATTTAATCTGCTGCAAACGAATTAGTGAACCGACACTATTCGATTCCCTTTGAAAACAGTACTTGCATTTTTGCGGATGGATTATTTGAGCTTCGGAACTACCAACGCAGGGTGGAAGTCTTGCTCCTTTATTAATCTTTTAAATCACTTCGAGCTTCTTTAAAGTTGAATATATTATTTAAAGAAGAAATGTTAGTCGAAAAGCCTATGAAAGTATCAACTATGTAATTATTTAATTGAAAAAAAACATGGCAGGCCATAGAATATAAATGAATGGTTCCTGATTTGAGATGGCTGAGTTACTTTGACAAGTAATTTGAATTAAAATATCTGCCATGTAATGGGAAGAGAAAGCAATAGGCACAGAAGGGTAAAAATAATATTCTCGATCAAAGGACAGTGGATAATCTTTGTTACAGTAAATAATAAATGCTTGGTCGAAGATGCGTTCAATTATGAGAATATTTTGCCAATAAAGTATTTCTAGCGCATGCAATAAGAAGTAAAAACGAGAGAATTCATCTTAAAGTCAAATTATATAAATAAATTCTTTCTTTGAAGCAGTCGTCTCAGAGATGTGTTAGTTATATAACTTCAGTTCGCCAACTCCCGTTTGACTAATATGAATCGGACAAACATCTAAAATGGAATGGGGTATTAATTGAAAAACAGTCACACCGTCGGTCAGAAAATATCTTAAAATGGACAATTTTGCTGTTTCACTAGTGACCTTAGCTTCGCTACATATAGTAAATTAATAAATTGAACTAAATAGAAAATAATTAACTAATCCTCAAAATATGTTAATACCAAGAACAAGTAAATTTTGAATTCCGAAATCACAGCTTGTTGAGAGCGCAACAATATCGTGCATGTACAAAGAAATTAGACAGGTAAAAAGGTGCGTTGCATGGAGGCAAGTGCGGTCTTCCGCACATAGACATCTCAGGCAATCACAAATCAATACCATATAGAACGCATTAAACGAGAAGCTTAATTCGGCAAAATGAAACACCAGAAACATCATTTTGCCTTAAAAAGTCGAAAATCCTGAAATGCCAACATTTCTGCCAAAATAAAACAAATCTAAATACATAGACCACTAAAATATTTTCCTTCGCAATGACAACATTTCAGAAGGTAAAACAAGCTCTTAAAAGGCTTAATAGGGTTAGAAAAATTAACATAATTATATATATACTTGTAATTACATAGAGTCAATTGAAATAAGTATGCGCCTCCGAGTAAATTTGTCAAATATTTGTCAAATATATGAGCTTAAAAATATATCATTGATTCAAAATGTGAAGCTATTCAGGAAAAATATAATACATGTATTTAATACACAATAGGATATTTGTGTTTATACATAACAAAACGTTCAGCAATTAATGAATACGTTAAGATTAAAATTAATGGTAAATTTATCCACAACCATGCTATTTAAAATTAGAAAAATTACTTTGTCAAACAAATTAAAAGGCCTTTTATTAAAAGTAGAAAGTGTATTTTTCTGAATAAATACAGATGAATGACATTTTGTGCCTAGCTTTAGATAAAATCAAAACATTCCTGGATCGTTTTGTTATCACCCTAAATGGCCTACGCACCATTTTAAGCTAAATGTTTGTTAAATATTATGATTAAAATAATTAATATTGAAAATAATATTTTTGACAAAAAGAGGATGGGTATTGCTGTATATTGAAATACAGCAATTGGTGATAGTTTTAAACATCATATTTTCTACCGACCATTCAAAACACACGGAAACCTAATTAATGGAGGTATTTGATTTTAACAGTTGCATGCCCACTTAAACTGTAGTAGCTAATGCTAATTAAAATTAAATTTATTTTTAATGCTCAGCAAGACAAGTTGACGTTGTTAATTTAATCGTCCACATAAAATTTGTTAATACATTTTATTATTAGGTACATTGTTGGCTAATTTTTCTCTCATCTATAAATGAAATTTTTGCTACAAATCCCTTTTCCAATTCAGTGTTTGCATGCCTATAATTCCATTTTTCAGCAACGCATCTTGATGTAGTTTATTTAAAAATTGTTCTTAGAAAATTTCTTAGTTCAGTGTTTCTACATTTAAATCAATCAAAAATTGATTTCTTTTAATTATTCGTTTTAATTTATGTTTGTATTAATGTTTTTAGAAGACTAATATTACAGCCAAAAGCGGTATCACTTATACTGTTCTGAGAAAGGTTTGTTATTTTCGATGTTTCACATTGGTTTTTATACGACTGTAAATTGTTGGTATTTGTTTAAAATTCTTGACATTTTTAATGCTGCTAGCTTCTATTTAATATATTGTTATATTATATAAATTAATGACTGGCTGTTAGAATGTTGCCAATTGCTACGTTATTATGGGAAGTAAATAATGTTCATTGCTATTTTCCCACTTTGCATATTTCTTGGGGAAGATTGCATTTTAAAATAACCCAGATAAATTTTTTCCTTGTATTCAATAGAATTTTTTGAGAGAAATTGAATTTTTTACTTTAGACAAATGAAAATCCAAAGCAACCAGCTATCGTGTCTGTTGCAGATCTGGGTGGCACTGGTAAGTTGTAACATCTTTTATACCAGTTTTCTTTCCACTCTTCCTGTAAACGCGTTTAAGTAAATGGTAAATGTACTAAATCGTCAAAAAACAACTAAATCCTTAGTGCAGTAAAAGGTATATGTTTGCACTCTAAACAGCTGTCTTTCATATTCTTTGCTACTCTACGGCATATTTGTCACCCTCTTGACATGGTTTAGCTGTAGTAACAGTCAATATCCATATTCAGTTTGTCAAATTATTAGAGAAATTACCCATCCTCTTAAATGGGACATAAAGATTGTTGTTATTGCTCCTCCATAATTCTTAATTCAAGATGGATATCTTAAATTCATTTGCTGGTGAAACAATATCTGATCTAAATCAGAGCTTGTTTGAACTCCTAATAGGTTGGTATTTGGGATGATAAAGGTAAGCGATTTGAGAAAATCGGTCTTGGTAAGTCTGTTTCTCTTGAAAATGAAACAATGTCAAGAGTGATCACACCTGTTCCATCAAGATCATATACATGCTATCAAACTAACGTTTCTTAGTCCTATATTTGCACCAGTCTTGCCCAGTCTATCCAAAAAATTCTCAATTTGAACCTGTTTGATTCGTATTTAAAGTGGCTTAGTGTTATACCTATTAAGTCTACCGTAAACTACATCGTCATTTACAACCTACATCAGATATTCCCAACCAAGGTGCAGCAAAAATGAGTGTGCCAGAAATATCATCTATTTCTCTTTAGTACTTTGAAGCAGTGGGAGATCATATGAGACTAAATAAGACTCTTTTGGATCCTTTTTTAGCTTGAAAGATACGTGTATGTCTGGATAACAAAGATTTTTGTCATGAAGCGTCCATATTCGGAAGCAAACATGAGAAGCGGGACGGCTTCTAACTTGCAAAAGATAAAGAATCTCTTCCATTCTCTATTCCTCTTGTAAAATGAGAAACGCTACTTCAAACTATCGAGTTGCTCATCATTGCCACTGAGATCGCTCAGAGAGCTTGAAAGAAAAATAAATGAATCACTGAAAATCTTCAAAGCTATTTCAATTGAACTGAATGATATTTCTGGGTACAATGACTTTTGTGAATACTTGGTGTAGGTTGTTAATGACGATATCGTTTGTGGCAGACTTAATGGGTATAGCACAAAGCCACATTAAATACGAATCAAACAGGTTTGAATGGAGGATTTTTGGATTGACTCGGCAAGACTGATGTGAATATGGGATTAAGAAAGGTCAGCTTGAGAGCATGTATATAATCTTGATGGAACAGGCGTGATCACTCTTGACATTGTTCCCTTTTCGAGAAACGCGAACCTACTGAGATGCTATTTTCTTTACTAATTATTATAGAATTGAGCAAACCTCCTGTTTATTGAGAAATCGAGCCCTTCACCCCAAAATGTCGTTTCTTTAGTGCGCATACTATAACAAGTATACATGTTTTAAGGCCAATAGTTCGTTACTTTAATCTCCCTTGGGTAAAATTATAAATTATATTTTATTATAATATCTTATTTTTTCTAATTAAAACGACAGGAGAAAAGAACCCAAAACTTCTCTTCCGAGATTAAAATTGCTCATATTTTAAAAAATGGTAAAAATTAAGATACGGCGTAATAATACGAAAAAAAGCTTTTTTCATTTTTTATTGTGGAAAACAACTGTGGTCGATTAATAGAAGGTCCACCAAACGATGCACGAGAGGCCATTCAAAAGATATCTAATGGAATCAGAAATTTTCTTAAATTTTTTTAATCGTGTTGTTAAAATTGCACTTGTTGTGTCATTCACGTCCCAAAATTGAAGTGTTCATTGAATTAAATTTAATCCTGATGGATAGTCATTATCATTTTGGTTCATATTTCCTTTAATTTTTTTGTATGGGGAAAGTGATCTTGTGGTCCTAACCCAGCAGAGATGAAACATCAGAAAATTTATGTTAGCAGCGCTCCGTAAGATCAATTGGCTTTCTAACTAAATGAACTAGTTCCTGAGTCAATTTTGGCTTATCCCCATTTCTGGTCATCGCTTTTGTTCTTCCTTGCTAAAACTTATCTCGCTGCCAATTATGATTAGTTTACATTTTAACGGATAAAACACTTGCTGTAATGGCTTACTATTCTTTAGAAATGTGATTCATGCTCAAACAGGTTCTATTGAGTATTTAAGTATAATCTTATTATAAATAGGCATAAGACCTGTTCGACCTCTTTCACAACCTATTTCTTTCGTATCTAGAGCGTGATTATGCCACTTTCCTCAGTTTGCCTCCAATGAAGACGCTACTAACGCGATGCCAATGGATCGTGATCATTCTGCCGGGACAAGAAGAGGGTGCTGAGGATTTGGAAAAAAGTAAAAATTCAACAAGCAAGGGAGACAAACCCAAGTATGCTCAATAATTTTTAAGAGCACTTTATTAAAAGAAAAAAACGCTACTGAATTTGGCAGTTTTTCTTTCGTAGATTTATATCATTCGTATCTTCTAAAATACACATTATAATCATCTCAAAACCATTAACATTCTCATTTCCCTATCCTTCTTTTCCTTATCTATGTGGCCTTGGGAAAAAACAGAGAGACTACATTTAATTACTATTCCGACCATCATTAACAGGCAAATTCCTTCTTTAAAAAACGCGATGGTGTTTTAATCAAATGGTCAAATATTGACCTCCTCTAATTAATCATTCCAAATTTACTGCTGGAAAATACTTGAGGCAGCCAGTACTTAAAATTTGACAAAATCTAACCAGTTAGAAAGACAGTTCCTTGACAAGCCAGATTATTTATTGCAATAATGTCCTATACGCATTTAGTCTACAGTTCAAGCTTTTAATCTAAAATGACTTTGATATATATTTTAGACAAGCGTCCATGCCAAAATTTTCGGATATGGCCGTGGATGTGTTGGAAATATTGAAAAAACTTCAGTAAGTTGTTCTATTTAGCAAAGTATTAATCTTCTTTGTAACTTTTAATTTTGTTCTATTTCACGAATTTAAACTAATTTTGCATCATTGAACCCTGCTATGTCAGAAACAGCTAGAATCAGATATGGCCTTTTCAACTATCGGGGGAGATAGATAGACGACCCATTTTGAATTCAAGGGACATAATGAGCTATCCATAAATAAAGGACTCAAAATCGAACACCTAGGAGGGATTATAATGAAGTCTGATGAATTTTGAATTCAGATGAAGTTTAAATCGATCCTGTCTTTGTTCATTGCTTCCTCTGCTTAATAATCATACAAATAAGGCAACCAGGAAATTATGCAATGAATGCGGGAACAGAAGAAATAATTCATAGCACTAATAGGAACATCTGTTCCACGTTTTGTTCCCATACACAGAGAACTGTCGAAAAAGGCCATCTGTCACAATAAAAGGGGGAGCGATAATAGGCAGCCAGGAAGGCAGTCTTTGATCTAATTTCGAACACAATCATACTGGAAATTATAATCTTTTTTCAAATAAAGCACTTAACCACTCATTTATTTCAAATGGCAGTCGTTTTGAAAGTTATCATTAGCCCTTTAGTTGACTTCGGGCCTCACAGAGAGGAGAAGGAGCAACAAAGTAGCAGAAAGCCGAGGGATGGGGAACAGAAGAGTGATTTATAGATGTAAGAGAGATACAAATAGAGAGAAAACGTAAGATGAGTACTGTGGAAGTGGTAGGATATGGCATACAGTGGGGTCATTGTAGTTTGAAGTCAGAGGTCAACTGCCGGTTAATAGACTTTTTCGCCGCATGAATATACGTTACCCAGGGTGCATCACGTGGAGGTAAGTCTAGAGCACGCTTTGGTTGAAATATAGAAGAATGGTTGCTATTAATTTTAGGAAAAGGGACATTCTTTACTGGGTTGCTTTGAAAATTGATGTTTGCCCAATTGGATTAAAGCAATTTTTTAGCTGAAAGCTAATAAATAATAGGATATTCTGGCATTATATTATTCTCGTAAGGAGTCCTAAATTAAAATACATCTTGACAGTTTCTTTGATATGGGCGTCGTCATAATCAATGAAGCATAACCTACTTTGAATCAGTGACATCCTTGCTTTTAATCACATGGGTTATTTCGCTATCTAAAGTCTATGCTTTTATATAACGTCCTGGTTTAAATCTCTGCCATAATAGACTTTTACGAGTGGTCTTATTCGGAGAGGGTCTTGGTGCAAATATGCTCGCAAGAGTAGCAGTAAGTTTAAATCTTTTCTTGCCTTCTATGATATTAAACATCGCAATATTATTCTTGATTTATCCAATATATATATATATGACAGTGTTTGGATGAAGAGATCGTCCTCGGCGCGGTGCTCATTCATTGTTGTGGAGTCTTTCTTGGACGTCTTGCAGGTGTGAAAGATAAGGTTTGTAATTCACTTTGTGAATTGGCACCTGACCTACTTTATTGCGGATAAAGCGCTTCCTAATTTTTTATCGTCCACGAACTGATTGACCATGGGCGCAGATAGACTTAAGTTTCTAAGAAAAATCATTTTATTGACGGTCAACCTTCTCCGACCCTGCTCCCACCCCCTTCCCATGCACTAACGTTTTGAAGAAATCACCTATCTAGAATAAATAAATAATTAAAATTGTCAAAGGTATGCTCAATATTTGATAAATTCATAGTAACTATTTGGTACAAGGGTGGTAAAGAACTTGTTTATTTCTGCCAATAGTAGGATTGTTAGACCGAGAAGCTTATCATGGTTTTAGGAAGGAGCTCTGACTAAAGGTTCTGTGCAATGGTTGCATTTTAGGATGTAAAGCGTGAGTGAAAGTATTGAGGATTTCGGATGCAGATAAAGGATTGGAATGAGCAACCAAAGGAAGAATTTCTAGTAAAGAGATTCATTCAAGATGAGAGTTAAAAAATTCGATCTTAAAAATGAGTTTTATCAGTTTACGGGAAAGATAAGTGGAAGATCGGAAATTAGAAATCCTTTTGTTGAGGTTAGCATATGGTGGTTGAACCCTAAGGCGTTTGGAAAAGTACGTTGGAATGAAGGTAATGGGATAATGAGTTTGTGCGCAATAGCCGACAAACACGAGTAAATCATTACGTTCAGACATGAATAATATAGATTGCAGAAAAACCTACTCCATGAATCGGAATAGTTTGCTCAAGTTTTTAACCTCCTACCGTTGGTTTCATCCAAAACGAAATATGCTTTGGAACGAAAGACTTCAATTTAACACAACTAAATAACAAGCATTCTATATTGATACGTCTTCCTTCAGATGCAACAGTGGCGAGCGAACAATCTTCCAACCGAACCCTACACAGAGAGGCAAATAATTGATCATCGATTCAAATCTGTAGGTCTCTTTCATGGTCTGTATAGTACTATTTCAATTTTATTAACTTGTCGTGTTTGACTACTCAACATCAAAGGCAACTAACTGACTGCCTTGTCTAGTGTTTTTTATTTGCTACAAAATTGGTAATTATAAGAGTTGGTGAAAGGGAAATTATCGTGCTGCTTTGTTTTCGCCACTTAGCAAATATATTTACTAGCTCTTAGATTTGTGGGAAAATTCACCGCAAAATTTGGTTTCTTAGCCACGTAAATATGATTTTAATGATTTATAGATAAATAAATATTGTGAAGGAATGCATCGGAAGAGACCTCCAAGGATAAATTTCCCTGAATGTTTCGGTTTAAAATTTAAAATTTGCAGATTCATTCTTCTATAGCTTTTCTGAGATTTGATGAATATTGTGGAGGAAAAGTGATGGAATGGATTCAGGTTCGAAATTCTTTGCTAACTTCACACTTTGTTCCTGTTTTTATCATCGTCAGATAGTAACGAGGGGATGAGAGACAAGTCTATTCTGCTCATAGTTTATTTTATGGAATCAAGAACCGGAGGAGAGAAAAAGCGATAGGAAAGTTGGTTATGGTTAAATGGCCCAAAATGAATTAAAATCTCGCTTAAGGGTGTGCAAATAAAGGCTTTGACCGCAGCATAAAATGATTTGTATTTCGATTTGTCAAATTCAATGTGTGTGATAGATCAACAAGAGACCTTAACAACTAAATTGTTGCAACGCCGTCAATTGTTTTTTCCTTTCTTTATGTAAATTTGTACCAGTTTATTTGTGCACTCTTTCTGCATTCCTATTTAGAAAAAAAACCATCTCCACCTTCTGAGCCCTCTTATCGCTCCGAATTTTGCATGAGGTTATGCTTTCTTCTAGAGCACAATGTGAATCCACCTACTGGATTTTATGAATATAATGAAAATCTCCATTAATATAAGGTTGTTATTTCTGATCCAGGATGCACTGTTCCCCTTCAGTTGGAGGTCCATAATTTTCAAAGTGCATAAGGGAAAGCGCTCTTAAACATTCATACTGAGCGGAAGAATAGAGTCCTTGTAACCTTCAGATACTGGACTCTCGTTCCTTCGATTACTAATTATAACTAGAATATTTAGTAAATCCACTAAATGTTCGGAGACGACCGTATATTGTCAAATTCTATCACATTTTCTTTATATTTAAAAATGAGTTTGGTAAAATGTGTTACCATTCTAAACGTCTTATAGATATGTATTTAGTTTGAATTGTTAACTACAATCTGATTATAAGTTAAAAATTGATAGGCAATCATTAATTTTGGAAAATAACATCAACCATGGAAAGCATGGCTACATTCTCTTACAGTGGTTTATTCGTAGTAGTCTTAAAATTTAAAATAAACCGGTCTACCAGACTATGAAAGAAAAGAATGATTGCTTGTGAAGGGTAAAATAGGCTAAATCGATTATAAAATGCCGAGAAGAGGGGAAATGAGTTTGTAAACAACTTAGAGTCGATGCCACGCTGAATTAAGCCGGTTTCAAATTCATTACAAATATTTTGCTTTCTCAATTGATAAGGAAACAAAAAAACTTGAAAAGAAAAAAATAAAAGGGATTTTCAGGCTTTATCATAAACTGCAGAATGAAGATACTCTAGTGATTAAAGTATAACAGGAGTTGAAGGGAACATTATTCTTCAGAAGCTCATCCGCCTTTTCTTGGTTATATCTAGTTAAAGAGTTCACGAGTTTCTTTGTTTGTCAAGTCCTAATGGAAAACTGTATGCATTATTTTGGCAAGTTAAAGCTTTACGTTTAGACAAAAGTTGGGAAGTCGCTGATGTAGGCCATCAATGAAATTACTCTTCTCAATCTGATTGCAAGCTAAAATGCATATACTGGCGCCAAATTGGGAACGTTTATCTACCCCCTAGACTATTTTTGTTGTCTAATATTCCCGTTTATTTGTATTATAGTCATATCGACACCTTACGGTTAGTTAAACCGCTATGCTACTGTTCATAAAATTGAAGAAGTTTCGTTTCATTTCGTTCTTGTAGTTAATTTTGATTAATGGAAGTGTTTTTTATACCTTTAGATGAACTCAGAGAAGCATTCGTTAAATTTAAAGGATGCTGAAGCTGAATTCAGAGATCGCCTTCACAACAAACTGAATTTAAATAACGTTAAGAAGTTATCCATCGTCTATGAACAGTGAGTACTTCTTTATTGGAACCTCCAGTGTGTATATTCAGTGCTTTTTCTAAGCTCTCCAAATATATATATATATATATATATTTTTTATAGACGAGTTTCAATGACAGAGCAAATCAATCGTCTTAAGTAAGTTGGTTGCTTAAATAAAAAATCTTGAACAACTATGCTTTGGTAAAGCAAATTTCACTGCAAAACCTAAACATGGGTATGTCCTATTTGAATCTTTTGTAGTACCTATGGAAAGTATTTATTTTGAACTCCATAATGAAAAGATTGCCTTGTACATCGTCATCGTCTAATACTTCTCTGTCTACGAATTTTTACACTGAAAGAAAGACGAGTCCGCGAAGCTCCTCATTCTAATTTCAAATTACCTTCTCAGCGGTGGCATGCAAATTTCGAAAGTTTTCACAATATTCTCTTCATGCTGTTAAGGGACTTTTAAATTTTTAATAAAGTGGAAAATAGGCTTCGTAAATTTCTTCAATACCTAGATTATGGAGTTCTGTGGGATGTAAAATACCTTTGCATTCATTTAAATGCTACATAAATAATGCTGCTAGTCCATACCTCTTTTTTGCCAGTTAATAACAGTGTACGCTATTGTTAGAGATGCATTTTTTCAAGGATCGGTCGTTATCAAAATGGGCGATCTGGGTGTACTCGCTTCATGTAATGCTTTTAACGAAAAGTTGGTAGTTAAAACTAGATATGTCTCTAATGGCTACTTATCAAGTATTAAACGCAGCTATTCGACAACGTGGAATTTATAATAGCTTGTCTTCTTTAAAATTTGAATGAAGAAGAAAAGGAGAATATGGATGTTTATGAATGTACCACGTGACTCTAAGAAACATTTCTTTTAATAAATAAATATAAAACCATGGCGAATATGAATGTGAATAGCGGATAATAATTTATTTATATCCGATTGCGGACTTTTTGATAGCTATCATTAGCCCTTTAATTGACTTCGGGCTTCACAGATGGGAGGAGCATCAAAGCCAGAAAAGTCAATGAGGAGGGAAGATAGAAGGGTGATTTACGGACGTAAAAGAGACAGACACAAAGGAAGAGAAAATGTAAGGTGAAATGAGTACTGTGAAATTGGTGGAATAATACATACAGTGAGGTCATGGTAATTTGATGTCAGAAGTCAACTGCCGATTTATTTGTCATACGAGCTTATTTTGCCCAGTAAGTCTATCGCAATCCACGCGGATCAACATAAACCATTAAATAGGTAATAAAGCAGATTCTTTTTAATAGTTGTGGTGAGGAATGTTTATGGAAAATTTATTTCGCTAGAAGCTCTCTTGTTTTCCATTTTAATAGAGCACTATTACTACCCACTCTGTAAAAATAAGCTGATAATATTAACAAATATTCTTTAAGTCTTGCAAGGACGTGTTGATCGATTTTCGATTCCAAATAAGCTTTAGTGCCTTAAAAATCAAACTAACAATTTTAGAATTATTTGTACCCTTTCTAACAGACTGAAGTGTTTCAATTCCCTCGAGAGTACTCAAACCCACGGTAATAATAGGCTTTTCCACTATGCACTATTATTAAGCTTAGGGTCTATTGAGGATATAACTCAAATTAGGGGTATTATTAGGTGATAGCATTTGAAGATCATTATATTCATTAATCAAGTAAAAAATAATACTGGGAAATTTTGTCCGTTAAATCCAGGTGCTTCCATCCGGCCTAGCCTGTGATTGATACCTCGAAGATAGTCCATTTGAATGAAATTAAGCTTTGGATGTCATTGAATGGACAGCATTCGATTTCCCAAAACAGAATTATTTTTAATTTTGCGATTAAGGTTGGGACCATAATTATAACATTGTGGTTCATCGAATGCTATCTAAGGTCTTTATTTAATTAAAAGCTGCCCAATTCTTTTCATCGCGGGCAAGCAGTGGGCCAACTTGAGTCGACATCGGCTTCTCGTTGAGGCGGTGAAGAAAATTAATGTCAACAATCAAGTCAGCATTGAAAGTATTGAATACGACGATACTGTCAGTCCGCTCGTAGAAAAGGTAATATACTATCGCTTTTTTTAAATTAAATGTCATCTATCAAGTACAGATAATCAGATTTAACCACCTGCAGACAGAATTCCCCATATTTTGTTAGAGTAAAGGTATCTTAAGGTTTTTGGCATCAAGGTATTATATAACGCAAAAATTATCTTCTTAAATGCAAATTGAAGCATCACTTAAATTAACTGTATTTATTATTTGTAACTTAAAAGGATGGGTCATGTTAAATTAGGCTATATTCAATTCATTAAGACGTTACACCATTTCAGTGACCTAATTGATATAGAATGAATATTAATATTTTTCGTCATAAGCTATGCAAAAATTGAACCATCTCATAATGAAAGAAACAGGTATACTAAAAGGTTTGAAGTTGATAATGAAAAAAGAAAATAGGGTTCACAATAAAATAAAAATACATTCAGTAGATTTTTTTGGAAAGCATCATTTTCTTTATTAATAACCTTTGAGACAAAAATGATGAATCGTCCCCTCTGTTATAACTTTTAGGACATGGAAAATAAATCAATAGATGAAAAGGAAGGCCTTAAGAGCTCGTACGGGCTATTAAAATCTTGACTCACCTATAGCTCTTTATTTTCAAAGAGTAGCACATAACTGGTGTCCTAGTTTTTGTGTTATTGCAGAAAATTCGACTCACCAATTGGTTGATAAAAGACAATTTGAAAATCAAAATCTGAAATTGTATTTAGCTAACTGTTAAACCGCCCGAAAAATCTCATTTCTAAGGCTGGCAATGATTTCAAGTTCAGTTATGTTCATTTTGTAAGGTATGTTAGTTGATTAGTAAGGTATTAACTTAATTGTCCATTAACCTCTTCAAAAGTAGAATACGAGAAGAAAACAGAGCATGTATTTCACTTTAAATTGGATTTGCTCATAAAAATTAACTGAGTCTGTTTCTAATGTGAGAGCAGCGTTGGAATTATTCGGATGGGAAATGTTCTGGAGCTAATCTAGTGGGAAACGTTGATTGTACATACTTTATGGTGTGATTAATATAGTTCTTTTGGTCAGCCAGTTAATTGAATTTTGAAGAAAAGTACCAATTTTTTGACGTCTATCGCTTCACGCATGCTTGCTGATCATTTTACTTTAGGGCCACGAGTATTCATTAGCAGCTACTTAAACCACTCGGGACACCGTTGAGAAACAGGCGATCTCGAGTTCGGGCCTTTCGGTTCGTAAAAGATGTTGTCTTAATCAGTTTATTATCTCTGTATGGATTCTTGAGAAGCGTCACCCTAATTTCTCTTTCGAAGACACATTGAGTAACTAATGCTCAGCCCATGAATTTGAGTTGTCTTAAATAAAATGAAGATGTTATTTTGAATTCATAAATGTGCAGTCATGTACAAGCCAGAATAAATATAATGCATTATAGTATGAATGCATTACATCCTTAAAATATTCATAAGAAATAATAAAAAAGTGACGTTGTATTTTAGCCGGAAAAGGTGGCGGAGAGTTTGAGATACTTCCTTCAAGGATTGGGGCTTGGTGAGTAAAATTTTATTTTCATTACTCTGCTTCTAACATTTTCTCCTCACTTTAACCCTAAATTTTAAATTACATATTATTTTGAATGAAATGTTGGCTTTGAAAGTAACATTTTGTTTGACGTCATCATGATATATAATGCTCAATGTTACGTTTCAATTTTGTATCTCACCACATGCAAATATGGGAAGAGAGAATTCAAACAAGTGTTTAAAAAATGTGCATTATTCGCTTTCATTTAATGTAGATTTATGAAAAATTTAAAAAATACTAACTCATTTGGACGGTAGTTTACAGCCTGCCAAAAATGATTTAAACGCCAACATTTTTCTATGGATACACATTTTAAACATCCTGTCATATTTTGCCAGAAGTATTTTGAACTACTAGTAACAACAGCAAACGTTCGCATTGGAAGCGCACATAAATTCAATTAAAGAGACACAAGTTTTCATTCTTATTTCGCACTTTGCCAAAATATAAAGAACCCTTAAAGTACTTGCCAATCAGAATAAGCCGTGCAGTTAGTTGAATAAAAATAAACAATTTTTGTTTTTTTTAATTTCCCGTTACTAGCATGAAAATACATTTTCATACCATTGGAAACTTAAATTTCGGAAGGACGGTAGCACGGGACACGTTAACTGTGACTTTAATTTCTTGTTAATAGAAAGCAACTAGAGTTGACCGATTTTGGAATTCTTTAATCAGTCAATGATGGCAAAGAATAGTAACAGATTTGTCTTTTGTCAGAGAGCAGGAACGAAATCCCCTTGAATATGCGGCTCAGTCACAACTCACAATATTGAGCTTTAATACACTGACTGAGAAGTGTATTTCGTCTTCGCTTAGACTAAACAGGTGATAATCACCACTGTTAATCTTCAAACAAGATATATCTAAAAAGCGGCCTTATTAGTCTTGGGCTATTCATTTTTACATACGTTCGCGTCTCCCTCGAGATTTACTTTCAAAACTATTTTGTTTAATATGGAAACTCAGTTTGCATACAATAACTCATGGAACTAAATATGTTGCTTATTACCGTTATGTGGTCTACAGGCTCGTTTATTGGCTAAGATTGATGAAAGCTCAATTTCTCACTGGAATAGCGAAAACCCCTAAGTTTAACCCTAAGTATGCACAGTGAAACGTATTTAACAATGCTGCAAAAAGCAAATCGAAGTAAATACAATGTATACAATAATGTAAGTTTAAAAATGCAAAATAAATCATTAGTCTTGCAAATAGCAATTATTTAATTATTTAACTCAGTTATATTTTCTTAATGACACGTTTTCACTCAAGATGGCTTATTCCGGAAGCCACTCAATGACTGTATAAGTCACATGAGTTAAGGTATAGAATGATTGCGCACTACTTTTTAGAAAAATATATATCGGAGAGGTAAATGGGATATAATAATACATTGATTTTAATTTCTATCCCATCGAATGCAGATTTCTACGAGACTTTGTGATCAATCTCTCCTCATTTCTAAATTCGCTTCTGTCATAAAATTTAAATGTTTGATTGATGCACTGTGTTACCCTATGCGGCCTTAAAATAGGAAGAACTGCTTGAAAGCATACTTCCCACAGGGTCAAGTATACGGAGAGTGATTGCGTGACCAAGTTATTCTTCTACATGCTCGTGTTAACTGACATGAAGTTTCAATCCCATAGGAAGTAGAAGCTTAGTAGCAGCGGTAGTAAGGCTCTAATTTATCAAAATATCCATTGCTACTGGTTGTGCACATTGATAGGCGATCTTGTAATTACTAAAGCAATATTCAACTCCCTTTTATGTAGTTAAATTTATAATGCCATCCCTCTTACGTAGTAGTCAAATTTACAAGATTTACCTATATTAATTATGAGCACTATTCGCCTGCTAACATTTGTCCATTTTTAGAAAGATGGATCCGATATTGGTGTTCGTCAAAGCATCTCGGTTTACTTTTAATTTTAATGTTTAAATAAGATAGAAGAGAATGTATGTGAAATTTTTTAACATAGAAGTATTCACTAGTTGGATAGTATACCATCAAGACAATTCGTAATTAAAGCAGTTATATCATTTTTTCCTTCTACATATAGACACTTTCTTCGAGCTTTAAATAAAGAGTAAAGGTGGTTGGTGAGGAGTAATCTTTGTCAACCCCTTTATGTGCACTAATAACTTCAAATATGGTTTTTTCATGATATATCTAAACGTACTAAATGCTGGACAAAATTAAACAGAATGACAGATATCGACCCGCACGGATATTTCCTCAAGCATTTAAAAGTAATCTTTAGATGATTCATTCATCATAACTGAAATTCCAGGTCTTCAGCAAGCAGTGTAATAAGCACGTTAGATCACAATTAGACAGTGTAAAAGGGGAGTGATAACCTAGTTACTAAACGCTGCTCTAACCATGCAATATTTTCTTACAGTGAGTTGTCTCATCAGCAGCACCGCTAATACTGGTTATAAGATTCGTGGAATTACGCCTATGCCTTCCTTACCTGACGATGGAGTGGAGTTGGAGAACTCTCGCAATGACAAATGCACAACGAATGATCAAAAGGGTACCCGCAGATACTCCCCACCACCAATGGGGCAACAGAAGCGCATGCCTCCACCATTTGTGCGTCGACAAATGTCCATGGCTGAGTTGGACATGCCTCGAGGACCGGCAGCTCTCAGTTCAATTAAACCATCCTCTTAATGTAAACTCTTTCATATACATGTTAGCATTCCCCCCCCCCCCCCACATAAGCATTTCTCACCCTACCTCATCTACTTATTACAAAATATTTTACTCATTACGCATAAATTTCGTTCCCCAATTCATCGCATATTGTCTAAATATCCTATAAGCATTTCCAACTCTCTTCATTAACCGAGTTCTTTGTCCGAGCATTTGAATGACTGTTTAAGTGTACTTTACGCCATTTGTGAGTTTGGTTTGTTTGGTTAAAGCTTAAATTTGGTCACTCGTTTAATGTGATGCTACTCGATTCAATAAGTCCCACTTGAGTGCAATTGGCTTTCTCCATTAACGGTGGTAAATATATCAAATCATCCCTTAAATACTTCTTCCATATTTTTACACCTTTAGTTTAATTGAATGATTAGGAGAAGGAATCTGCGTAATATTTTACTAACCATTGTTAAGTGAACGTTTTCGTCAACGAAGCCAGAAGTTCCTGGTTTGATAGCCATGGGTGGATATTGTGTGAGTGAAATTGGTTACAAATTTAAGTTTTTCGGAAGGGAGACATGTGAAAGCAACAAATAGGTTTCCAAAATTTCACGAAAGACAAACCTTTAATTGTGATTCGTGATGATTCGAAAAATTTGCCTTTACATGAACTATAAATTGAGTTATTCATTGGTTACTAGGTTTGCCAATACCCTGTATGCTCTGGAGAGCTAAAATTTGTGAATTTTACAGGTATTAATGCACATCTCTCTTATAAAGATTAAAACTAGTTAGGTAACTGGAAAAATGATGGATTCTTCATAAACATGCATTTTTAATGGAGTTTGGCATTGTTGTGGACCGTATAACGAAGGTTAGTCCGAGTGAAAAGTATGCACATGCTCCAGTGTGTGTTTTGTTTTTTTCCATATTTTGGTCAGATATACTGATACCTCTCAGAATCTTAAGGGCCTGGAAAAATGGAAGTATGACTCGCACCACTGCTTCATTAACTAAAGTGTCATCGTCTGAGCCAAATAAGTCAACAAGAGGGAATAAGCACTTAAGTGCGTTCATGGCGTAAAGGCGATCCATTAGATGACGTTAGGGGGGGGGGGGTTGATAAAAGTGTTTGGCAAAAGATTTATCTGATTGGCTAAGGCATCTGTCACTTAGTTACCGAACTCCTGTGACTTCAATCAGGTCAGAGAGCATTTACTCGTTTCATGATTGTAAAAATACATCAACTCAAATGAGCATGCATGACCAATTATGTATTTAAATCGATTGGCTTCCCTAAAGCACAAACACTGAATAGGTAGTTTTTATATTTGAACATAAAAAGTCAAATTTTGCAATTTATGAAAAAGTTGGCACCTCAATAGTTCAAATAAGCTATAACTCCTAATAATCATTAAATTATTTACTTCCATTCAGTCCTTCGTTCACCACGTACTGCAATAATTTATTACTTCTTGCTTTCTAATACTACTCGGTGATTTAAAGTTATTCAGTTTTTTAACTGCTCAATAGTAATTGCTCAGACGTAACTCACCAATGACTGTCTTCCAAGTGGAACGATGGTAAAAAATTCATTACGGTATTTAATAGGCATTCTTGGTGATTAGTTCGAATAAAGTCAGAAATGAAAATTAAATTACCTATGTTAATGACGCATCGGCAATCTCATACGTCATCGATTTCGAGCGTTATTCGATCGAATTTATACCTCAATCCTAAAGCCGACATAGTCTCATTTTAGTAGCAATATAACAGAAAGTTCCCACTTATTAATGAAGGATCAAAGCGGCATTTCGTTTCGCGGAATTCTGTTGCAAAAATATCATTAAAATTGTTTTGTTGCAAACGAACTGTAACAATCATGCTAATATCTTTTTAGTTAGGTTGGAATTTGAAATATATTTTAAATAAAATATTTTTACAACTTCATATCCATTAATTGCAGTGCAGTGTTAATTTAATGCAAGAAATGAGAACAAAATGAAATTAAAAAGTATTTTAAATTTTGACAGCAAAATGCTCGTTTGACTTCAATTAAAAGCTAATAAGTAAAAATTTCCTTAAAGGTTTTATTATTTATTGAGAGTCATGTTTTTATTTCAATTTTATTAGGATACTGTGTCTACACAACGTCATTATTTTAACTGAAATACCACAACTATATAAATATATTTTAAATACTACGGAAAATAGAACCAACGAATACTTTTTTTAATAATTTTCTAGGTACTTTCACGGATGCTACGCAAATAGGCCTCGGCTAAACGTCCGAAATTTCTGTTTTTTTCACCTAAATGTTTCACCTTGTGTGGAATAATCAAAGCCATCTATCATAAACCGATAATCATTGAAAGTTTTCGATATCTCTGCTATTTTCAATACTTTTAGTCGGTGCTTGCCAATCGACTTATTCCCACACAGTCCATTATCTCAAAAATAACGAAATCCATTTCATGCTATAGCCCGTCAGACTAATTCGATTAACTATTCATTCCACTATTATGCGATCACATTTATTATACCAATACTTCATTTTAACACATTCCACCTTCCTTATTGACCACTTTACGGTCGCACTAACTTCACTCTATTCCTTGCATAAGGAACGATATAAAAACAATACGGGCTCTTGTGTGTGATGGGCCATTAATACACTAACGCGTGTGATACACCCACCTAATTCCACTCCTTCAGCGGTTGCGTTGGAGACATGTTAATTAATCGGTTCTTGAGACATCTATCCTTGTCCAAATACTTCATTTCACCTCAGAAAAATCGTATTATTATGCACAAAAATTTGAATTAAACATTGCCAAAGTGAAGATAATATTGGGTTGGCAACCAAGTCATTGCCGTTTTTGTTGACGGATTCACTCTATACTTTCTTTTGTTCTGTTAACGTGACCAGAGCATCTAACCTATATTTTTTTCTTACTGTATGGGCTTCTAGGTTAATTAGTAAAAAATTTTTTGTTTCGTTCTTTAGTTTTGCTTTTATCCCAATTTAAAAATGAAAGAACAGGACGTGCACTTCCGACACATTTTATTGTATTACTTCCGAAAAGGCAAGAACGCATCGCAAGCACAAAAGAAGTTATGTGCCGTATATGGAGATGAAGCCTTAAAAGAAAGGCAGTGTCGAAATTGGTTTGAAAGATTTCGTTCCGGTGATTTTTCACTGAAAAATTCACAACGATCTGGCCGCCCAGTCGAAGTGGATGAAACCCATATCAAGGCCATTATCGATTCAAATCGTCACAGCACAACACGAGATATTGCAGAGAAGCTCAATGTGTCGCATACATGCATTGAAAAAAAATTAAAAACCCTTGGTTATGTCAAGAAACTTGATTTATGGATCCCTCTCCAGTTAAAGGCAATTCATTTGACGCAACGGATTAGCATCTGTGATTCGCCGCTACTGAAACGCAATGAGAATGATCCATTTCTGAAGAACCTAGTTACTGGCGACGAAAAGTGGATAGTTTATAACAATGTTACTCGCAAGAGATCATGGGTGAAGCAAGATCAACCAGCCCAAACAGTATCAAAAGCAGAGAATCACCAAAAAAGATTATGCTGTCAGTGTGGTGGGATCACAAAGGAATTTTGTATTTTGAACTCATGCCGCAGAACCAAACGATAAATTCAAATGTGTATGTTGAAGAACTCGAAAAACTGAAGGATGGAATTGAAGATAAGCGGCCGGCATTATCAAATCGGAAGGGTGTTGTTTTCCATCATGGTAACGCAAGGCCCCACACATCTTTGGTTACTAGGCAAAAATTATTGGAACTGGGTTGGGATGTTTTGTCACACCCACCATATAGCCCTGACCTTGCGCCTTCGGATTACCATTTGTTTCGTTCCATGCAAAACTCTTTAAATGGTAAAATTTTTAACAATGCGGATGATGTCGGATCACACCTAATTCAGTTTTTTAATAGCAAAGACCGGACATTTTACGAACGGGGAATTTTTACTCTGCCAGAACGATGGAAAAAAGTTATCGACAAGAACGGCCAATATCTAATTGAATAAAGTTATATTTTTAAACAAAAATTCCTAATTTGCCTTCTTATTTGAAATCGCCAATGACTTAGTTGCCAACCTAATAGTTCTCTTACCATAGATGAATTCACTAAAGCATTTTAAAGAACAAATCAATACTCCAAATTTAATTTGAGCTATTCAATTAAAATGTCAGCAATTGGCATATCTACTGTTCCCTAATATTCCAAACTAGAATTAAATAGGATTTGCCAACGCTACCCTATATATATTATACTTTTGAAGAATTCCAATTTCAGTTCACTATAATGAAAAAAATTGTCCATAACATATACAACAGTTGAAATATTAAGCTACAATATTACGGCTCCAGTCTCTTTAAGTATTTTCAAGTGGGGTAGTGCTCAAGTCAGAAGTTTATTGCTTCCTTGGCCAAAAGCAGAGACTGCATTCAACTCTTTTCCTTATCATTAGCGTGAGCTCTTGCGCCGTTAGTAATGTAGGGAAAAGCACGCGAATATCGCGCGATTCTTAAACAATAAAAGTACTTTCTATCGCATCCGCATGTCGACATAACCAACAACATAGATATGGACATAGTCATAAAAATAGAGTTGTACGACGTTTGTTTTGGGGAAACCAAGATGATAAAAGAAAAGACCGCGAACCAATTGGTTTGTTGAGATTGCCTCAAATCTCCACCGATCTCAACCATGTTAAGGCAACCTTTTCATTAAAACTTGACGATTAAATTTAGTCCTTTTTATAGAGATTTACCCAGTAACAGTGATGTGAGGAGGAAGTCGGTGATGAGAATAGCCACTAACTAAAATATTTATTTATATCAAATAGCAGGCGTTTTGATGATTATCATTAGCCCTTTAGTTGACTACAGGCTTCACAAAGGGGAAGGAACATCAAAGTGAAAAAAAAGTCGAGAGGGGAGGGGAACAGAAGAGTGTTTCAAAGACGAAGGTAGAAAAGGTAGAAAAAGAAGTGAGGTGAGTACTATGGAAGTGGTCGACTATGACATACAGTCGGGTCATGGTAGTTCGAAATCAGAAGTCAACTGCCGGTAAATAGACTTTTTTGCCGTATGAGTATACGTTGCCCAGGGTGCACCATGTGGAGTTAAGTCTATCGCACACACCCTAACTAAAATATAAGTTGTTGAAAATAAACAATCAATCATCATAGTTTGTTGATTGGCATTCAGGCTGCAAGAATTTTTCGCATCTGTTGTGTTTTCATTGCTGTCAATAGATCAAGCTCACCTTGGTGTTCGTCAAAAGTGCTTTTACTTGTTCTGAAAATGTTCAAACATTTTATCCCTCAATGATTCACAAAGCAAAAGTGAGCGTCCAGTCAGGGTCATAAGAAAATTTTAGTCTTCTAAAATATTCATAAATGTATTTTAAACACCAAGAGATGAAATAAATGCAGTCGAGGAATATTTAAATTTATGGTAGTGGAAAGGATGTGCAAAGTGTAAGATTTAATGACAAATTCAATTGCGATCATTATGTTGAACAGATTCAAGCAAAAAGTGGCAAGGTGGGAGACATGAAATGGTAAAGAATAAAGACATAGGTAGTCTCGTTTACCCAAAATCACGAACCCCCCCCCCCCCCAATTCTCGATACTCTTTGCATACTTATTCATATATAGAGAAATCAAGACCAAGAAATGCAGCATCCACGTTCAACACCGACGAGCCATTAGTATGTTGGATATTTCAGCTGGGAAAATGAACCGAAGTTGGCAGATAGAGACAATGCAAGAGCATTCAAATAAAGGAAATAGTTATTTCCCAAAATGAACCTTAATCCGTGAGATTTGCTGCGTTGTGTTAGTGTAAACTGGTTAAAATAATACCCTTGCCAACTTTGTAACGCAATAAGTAAGTAAGTAATTAAACGATTGATTAATAATAAAACTGGAGACTGTGGAGAAGAATTAGGAGCTTTAAACTAAACCATTGAACTCCCAGTTAAGTGAATAGCCTGCAACCTAAAATCAAAAAATGAGCCTTTATGCTCCCTCCTCTCCCATCGTTCTCTATTTCAATTTCCCTACGCCATTTGAATTGCTTTCCAGCAGTGAAAAAGTGAACACTAATGAGGACCATGTTATAATAATACTACGAAAGGTATTCTCAGCACCAAATATAAATAGGAAGATTTAGGGAAATTTATTTGGAGAATGCAAGCCTTCCAAACCCCACTTAATGGTATTTCTAGTATAATTTCAAAAAATGTTCCTCGGCCCTAGAACGCGCGAATAGAATGTGTGGAATTTAATTCGGGCTTCTAAATAGCCACTGATGCAAATAAAACAACTCACCTTTATCAATAAGGAGGAGAAACGAATCCAAAAATAACAAATTATTTAGTAAATTAATAATCCACCAAATCTCGATTTAAGAAAATGCTTGTAAATTTTATGTAAATAAGTAATAATTGGAACTAATTGATAAAGGAAAAAATGTTTAAGAGTAATGTTAACACATAAATAAACAATGAGAAGTAAAATAAGCATAAAATTGTAAATTAATTATAATTAAGAATAATCCATCTCTATTTTATCATTCAAAAACGCGCAGTGGCTACGCAACACACAACAAATCAATAAATCGTGTGAATATTCGAGAACACAAATCATGCTGAAGGTTGGTACGCCTGGAAAATAATTCTACATGAGTGGTTATTTTAACTAAAATAAAGGAATGAAACAAACACAGCATATGATTAGCATAAATTTAAACAATTCCTGAGAGTCCCTTTAACAAACAGATCATAGAAAAGTGGAATTTATTTGGGACAGGACGCAAAACTTAGCAAATCTGGAGATCGCAATTAGTGCCACTTCAAAGCAAACGTATTTCCAAAGTCAACAGGAACAGAATGAAAATTATTTAAAAGCAGAAAATGACCACGATTAGAATAGTTTTGAACTAACGACTTGAAAGAACAATAAACCCGAAAATTTAATTCACGCCTCGCGTTTTCAACCGATTTTCGCTTCCGATACGAACTTTTATCCGCCAAAAATATTCGCAGAACAAGAAGTGTACAAAATTGGACGATATCCATTTTGTAATTAAGCGATCGTTGGGCCTAATATTCCACTTAATTCAATTCCAAGATTTAAATTACAAACAATCCAACCTCATATATCACTTATAAAGCAAATAAAAACCGATTTAATAATAGAAAGCAGTCTATTTATTAATCGGAGGTGGTGAAAGACAAAATCCCCTGGCACATATGTAGATCTCTGCGGAGTCCTTACGACTGGCAGGTGGTTTAAGAACCCGAACAGCAGGAGAGGAAGCGGCGGTAGGACCACTATTAGTATCCCAGGGACCCTTGTAAAAACGTTCCAGGAGGAGCTTGAATTCGTTTACTTCTTGACAATCCCAGAGCTTCACGAGCAAGCTGGCGCCAGGTTTGGAGACGTGTAGAGCCAACTACGTTAAGACAACAAAGCGTTAAATGAATGCAACATTAGCTGCGGAATGAAATGAGCAAAGTGATAAGATTATGGTAGTAGATAAATTACTAGGAAGCCACTGACATAGGATATGAATACTTTTTTCCCTGTAATATTTTAGAAACTTGGACATCCTATGGGTGGAAGATAGACTTTGGTTGAGTTAGGAGCATTGGCCCCATTGTTAAAACATTCAAAGAATGTGAGGAATAACATCATAAAGTTTGTGCCGCGTTTCTAGAATTCCAATAAAGTGAAATTGAGCGAAAAGCTAGGGTAATGGTGAAAGTCAAACTGATCCAGAAAAATACCCTGCGGTAAAATCAAGGTAAATCAAGCATAACTATTTGAAATCTCGAGTTTACCTCCTCAATACCTCTCAATGTTCTGCCTATAATTAATCCATCCTTAAACAAGTTTTGAAGTACGTAGACAATAAGTATGAAAATGACCAAACAGGTTATAATGGTCTCCAAACAATATCTAGCCTAAGGTTTATTTAATAAGCCATGCTTAAAGTTCTAGGGTGTAGATATGACTAAAGAATTGTTCCATTGAAAAGTGCTTTAAAAGTATGACAATTTCGATGCAGATCAACCTACCTGGAAAATTAACTTAGAGAAGAGCAATTTTACCAACATTTCGATGCTTTTAAACTGTAGTGAGGTGCATTATGTTAATTATACAACTTATATTCGTGTCTACCTCATTTTTCCACAAATAACTACAGATATATGGAGGTGGCATGACACCCATGGGTTAAATCATAAGGATAAACGCAATTATGAAACTAGGAGACAAATTGTGAAAGCCGAAAGGTGATGAATTCATCTTTTGCGAATATAAGCATCCCAATACTCCCTGTTTCAAGTAAAGTTTTTCACCATGATATCCTGACTTCATTACCAACTTAGTAATAATTATTTCCAGTTTACTGGGGTGTGTGATAGACTTACCTCCACGTGGTGCAC